CTAGTTCTCTGTGTACTGCCTTAGACAACGCAGCTCCTTTGAAAATGAAAACCGTTAAAAAAAGAAAGCTTGTTCCTTGGTTTAATGCAGAGCTGTGCACTTTGAAGCAAAATGCTAGAAAACTGGAGAAAAAATGTTGCTCCACAGACCTACGGGAATCCTACCTAGTCTGGAAAAATAGTTTACCCTTTGTAAAGCAAGAGCAGCATATTTCTCCTAATTAATAGAGGAGAATAAGAATAATCCTAGATTTCTTTTTAATACAGTTGCCAAACTCACCCAGAGCCATAGCTTAGTTGAACCGTTCATTCCACCTGCTCTTAGAAGTAATGATTTTATGGGATTCTTTAAAAATAAGATCATTAGCACTCCTCTATCCGCAATTGTATCTGAGGTAGTCATGGAATCTGAACCGGGTTTAGACTGCTTTGATCCAGTTGAACTTTCAGAGTTAGCAAAATTATTGTCTGCATCTAAGCCTTCAACTTGTATGTTAGATCCAGTTCCAACCAGGTTATTTAAAGAGGTATTCCTTTTGATCTCCTCCTCCATTTTAGATGTGATTAATCTATCTCTGTTACAGGGATATGTGCCAAAGGCTTTTAAGGTTGCAGTAATTAAACCTCTGCTTAAGAAACCGTCTCTTGACCCAGATGACTTGGTCAATTATAGACCTATATCCAATCTTCCTTTCTTATCTAAAATTCTTCAGAAAGTACAGTAGTTGCCAAACAAGTGTGTGATCACTTACACCATAATGAACTTTTTGAAGAGTTTCAGTCTGGCTTTAGAGCTCATCATAGCACTGAAACAGCTCTGGTGAAAGTCGCTAATGATATTCTCATGGCCTCAGATAATGGACTTGTATCTATGCCCGTCCTGTTGGATCTCGGTGCTGCATTTGATACAGTTGACTATAATATTCTTTAAGAAAGACTTTAATATTTTGTTGGAATTGAAGGCACAGCATTAGACTAGTTCAAATCTTATCTATCTGATCGATTTCATTTTGTTCACGTTAATGACAAATCTTCCGCATGCTCATAGGTTACCTGTGGAGTACCACAGGGATCACTGCTAGGACCAATTCTCTTTACTTTATATATGCTCCCATTCGGTAGAATTATTAGACAGCATGGGATTAATTTTCACTGTTTAACTGAAGAGATAAAAACCTGGATGACTCTTAACTTTCTCCTTCTGAATACAGACAAAACAGAAGTTTTAGTATTTGGACCAGTCTTTGAAAAATAAGTTGATTAGCCAGTCACTTCATTTGGATGGGCTTAAACTGATTTCAGATAATAAAGTAAAAAAATCTTGGTGTTATATTAGATCAGGACCTGTCATTTAAACCCCATATCAAAGAGGTTTCTAGAATTTCCTTCTTTCATCTGAGGAATATTGCAAAAATTAGAAATATTCTGTCCAGGATTTATGCTTAGAAACTAGTCCATGCATTTGTTACTTCAAGGCTGGACTATTGTAATTCTTTACTATCAGGAAGTCCACAAACCATACTTTAAGCCACAGTTCTGATGAAAATTAAAAAGAGAGATCATATCTCTCCTATCCTGGCTTCTCTTTATTGGCTTCCTGTTAAATCCAGAATAGAATTTAAAATCCTCCTTCTCACATATAAAGCCTTAAATGGCCAAGCTCCATCTTATATCAGAGATCTGATTGTTCCTTATGTTCCTAACAGAGCACTTCACTCTCAATCTGCAGGTTTACTAGTGGTTCCTAGAATTTCTAAAAATAGAATGGGAGACAGATCTTTTAGTTATCAGGCTGCTCTCCTGTGGCACCAGTGAACATTTTGAGTCCGTGAGGCAGACACCCTGTCTACTTTTAAGACTAAAGACTAAAAAAAACATTTTTTATTGGTACACATAAACCCATTTTAGCTGCAGCTTTTTTTCCCCCAGTGCCACCATGCAGCAGTGAATTATCTACTTAAACTTGGAAGGAAAGAAATAATTGCACCAAAACCAGAGACCAGCTGTTTTTATTTTATTTTTTTAAACAGCTGAACCAGAACCAGAGAGAGTTGGCTGTGCCAGGCGGCTCAGGCTGTTAGGGATTTGATTTCAAATTAACAAACACAAATGAAAACACAAAAAATAAAAAAGGAAAATGATCACCTCCACTGCGCTTTCCATAAAAAATAAAAAATGTCCTCGCTAGTTTTCAGTCTATTCGATTTTGTTTATTCAGATAAACAAATGAATAACAAACATGTTTACCTTATTGAGCTTTAACAATATTACCAGTGGTTTAGAAGGGGTGCTGATATTTACCCACAAAGTCACCTGCACAAACATATCTTCCATCGCCATTTGTTGGAGTTGCGAATAGCGATTTGAACACTTTTACATTTGGCCCAACCTAACTCTATATGATGTGCTTTTATTTATTTATTTTTTTTATCAGGTGAGTGAGTTATTGTCAGAACTTCAAAGCCTGTTACCTACAACTGTAGGGTTGTTGGTGCTTCTCTTGAACTTAGAATAAAATACTTTGGCCAAGATGGTATTTTTGTAGAATTTATTTTTTTTAATGGTCTACTAGGTATAATTTACGATTGACGAAGGGTACAAATGCTTTATAAATACATGGTTTCATCTTTTGAGGTTTTGAAATTCAAAAGGTAGACTGGCAAATGCACACAAAAAAGAAAATGACACATAAATTACCCACAACTGCACAAAAAACAGGACAGTTTAAGTAGCAAAAACATATGGGGGCTTTAAGGTTGCAATATTATTTGCATATGTGTGCGGAAAGTTGTGTGTCAGATTCTTATACAGACATACAAATCTCACACATTTTCAAATCCTACTATACACACGCAAATTGAGATTCAGACACAGAACTCTTCACACCCTTGCGAATAAAACTACAACAGTAACAACCCATAAAACACCTTCATGTTAAGAAATGCTCCAAAGCAGCACCTTACAGTATGATGCAAGTGCTCCAGGCCACCAGGGAGAGATGTTCACCAGCTTATGATGTTCATCAACTCATATGGGATCAGAACATAGATAATACTATGAATGAATATCTATGGGCGAGACCCTTGGCAAAATCATAAACTGAATGCCGTCCACAGGACATCAAATGGTAGAACTCAAAAGTAAGTTTTCCTCTGAATATTTCTTCATCACTAAGGGTGTGTTAGTTTTCAAAGGCTGAATCCTCAAAGGACCCGGTCTACCTGGACTGGATCCTTTGAGGTTTGTGAAAATAAGGACACCAGAATAGTTTTGGCTGTGCATTCAAACAGGTCCAACCTTCCGTGGCTTTCACCACCCATATGCTCTGTCGCCTAGCCACCGTGAGAGTTGACACAAAGCAGGAAAAGAATTAATACCGAAGTTCTCATTGCTGTTTTTTATATTTATTTATTTAACATTTTCATGGAGCTTCAACAGCAGTACTGTATCAGATTTATAATCCCCAACACTGCAGATATGTTAGAATCTGTCATTAAATGTAAGCCAAACCCATTTACACAGGTATAGATAAAACCTTTCAATAAACCAAACATTATCCGCCAAATATTTGACTCAATAACCATTCAAAAAACAATTTTTATTAATTTTAGATGGAACTATTCACATACTTCTAGTATAATAATATTCACCACTGTACGGTGCCAAGTACCTTTATACAATACATAGTTTATGTATTTTCAGCAGGTTTTGGGTTAACAGCTGTTTCTACTTTGCTGCTGTCTGTTTCTCTGATTGCATCTTAACTCTTAACTTGTATTTGTTTTTGCAACTTGCAGCATGTTTCCCCTGGTCTGTGTTGCCATGTTTGTTGCTCTCATTTTTCTTTTTTAGTTTGGTAGTCTAATTATAATTACTTGACTTTGCTGTCAAAAAAAGGATTTACATGGTGCTTGCACCATGTACCACTACATTAGTTGAAAAGGATCATCACTGCAGGCCCCAAGGTGTTCTGCATGAAAAAAACCAATACAAAAGAAACATGCACTTTTGACATACACCACAATGCATTTCTGCCATGATGATTAATAGTGTCAAGAAAAATTCTAAGAGATATGAGTAGAAAAATCTTTTAAAACCTGTAAAATTATAGCTTGATTCAAAGAATAATACCATAACCAACAGCATAAAAGGTTTCAGTTCAAACTGAGGTGTCTCCTTATCCACTGTCAGTCAACCTAATGATATTCCCTGTTCTGCAAGATTTTCTGAAACTAAAGACTGCATCCAAGTAATTTCTTTTAAAAAACTGAATAAAAAGATCACATCAAGATTTTTCTGCAAGATATCTTTATTCTTTCCTTTAGTTTTCTTTAGCAGCACAACAATAGTGCTATTGGTAGCTGAACCATTTTCTCACAGTCTGACCAGGGGAATGTGGAAAAAAAATGTGTGTGTGAGGGGTATATATTACAAAATTTACAAAATGATAATTTTCTTATTCTCAAAGAAAAATATTAAGCCTTTACCAAAAATTACGGCTATAAAGAGCTATCATTGTTTTAGATGAATTATGCTGCATTTAAGTGCTTTTAAAACATCTAAGGAGTAGGTGTATTTTTTTTTAGAAGCATAGAGCGAAAAGGGAGATAGGTGTTTGCAATCACCTGAGGGCACAGCAGAGTGCCAACTCACACACGCCCAGTGAGTCACCTTCATATCAATCTAAAATTATATATAATATTTCTGATAATAATATGATATTATGTTAATGATGCTAAACAAACTCTGAAAAACTCACCTCAGTTTGGATTGTTCTGTTGTATCCTGTCAATCCAGTGATGTTAACATACACTGACCTGCAGGATAAAAGCTACCAATAAGGAACTAGAAGCACTACATCTTTGCCAAGGAACCAGATCTACCAAAAAGTGAACAGCAGAGTCAGCTTCTGGCACATAGTGGGTGTGGTCAGGTCACAACAGTTGACTGAAACGAAACTCAAGTAAAGGTTGTTGTTTTTGGTTTTTGTTGAAAATCCAAACTAAATTTCAAATTAAACATGCAATAATATTCTACCACAGAGTGGAAAATTGCAAAATTATTAAAAAAACATTTGTGGTGTGTTGAATATAAACTCCAGCTAATTGAACACAGGGCTTTGAAAACATGCAAAAAGGATAGGTCCTTATGCTGCACTTGCTTAACCTCACATCTAAAATCATTATAAGTACATTTTTTCCTTTCGGTTTAGTCAGTTCAGGGACCAGCAGGAAAGAAAGCCTTTCAGTAGCAGCCATTCAAAATTGCACTTTCCTTGATGAGCCCTTGGCTAGTCCTAGGCTAGTCCCCTACAATGCCTTCAAAATTTGTACTAAAATATTCTTTCTGTCAGGATTTGTGGATATTAAGATCTAAAGAATAGTACCTCCTGGTCAGACCCTGTAAAAAAATACAGTAAACAAATATGCACGCCCAGGAGAAGGCTAGTGGCTGGAAGTTGGAGGGGATTTTACTGCCATCCGGCTGCCATTGGGCTGGCTTTTGACTTGGAAGGGCCATTTTGAATGGCAGCTACTTTATAAAACAACATTTACTGCTATGTAATGCAAAAAGAAGCTAAAAATTCAGTTAATTCTTCAGCTTCAATTAAATTAAAATATGATTTAAAGCAAATCACAACAAAGAAACAAAGAGATTAATTCAGCAATGATGTTATCTTCTGTCCAACAGTTTGATTAAGAAGACTTCATTTTTGATGTCCAGCAGTAGGACGTTGACTGGGTGTCACAAAAGCTAATTTCTCTGGTAGCACCAAAGTGCACCAAACCAAAAATATGTACAGTAAGACAAAAAATTTTCTCTTTCTACTGATCTTAACTAATATGACGGACTGTCGTTGTTACTGTATTTGCATTTTTAAATCTCTTATTACAGAAAATTAATTGAGAATCTCACTAGAGGATTTATTCAGTTGGTTTTTTGCTTTTTTTTACCACATCAAATAGGTTGAATAAGAGTCAGCAAGTATCCTGGATCTTGCATAAAATGGAGAACCAAAGGCTCAGACCTCTTTGCACCACTGTACAGGTAAAAATATGGGAAAAGCTTTCCTGTGAAAGACTCTTTTTTGAAAGAATGAATATGCAACTTCTTGTTCAAATCAAAGAATGACACTCGACCCGCCTCATAGTCTAAAAACACCCCCACGTGTCTTGGCCTGGGACTAAGATGGAGAACTTTACGGGGTTTTTCGTTAACCTCATAATCAAAACCAGATTTTCCGATAGAATAAAATCCCTTGTCTTTTCTCACATCATCGTCTGACCTATCGATTGTTTCCAGGGCCACACCAATATCCCAGTCGTTCCTCAGGCCCACCTGGACCTCCCAGTAGTGACGACCAGAGGTGAAGCCATTCATCCCAAAAACCATTGGCAGACGAAACCTTTGTGAGTTCGAAGACGGTGTTGATGACCTTGCAGTTTTTGAGTACTTAAGTCGTTTTCCAAAGTCTGTTATTATGAGGCCAACCCCAGCAGTGGATTCATCAAATGTTACTGATTCTGTGAAAAATGAGACAGAAGGTCTTATCAAAAATATTTAGCAAACAGCAATAAATAAAAGTAAACTTAAAATTATCTGACCTTTGTATTCTTTCATTCTGGTCAGTTCTAAGAGGGGTCAAACATAAACACAGTTTAAAAGAATTTCATTTTTTTAGTAGAAAACAACTAAATATGCACATCATTTATTTTTACCCATGTTTGTCAGTGTTGTTTGTTCTTTTTGGAAAATGTTCACAAGATTATCCATTGCTCGCCTCATTGTTTGAATGTACAGGTCAGGGTAAACCTTGGTCTTGGACCAGTCTTTGCCTGCTGACATGGTGTCCAGAGCCTGCAAAGTCTGAGAAGATTCAAGGTAATCATGGAATGAATGGAATTTAAACAGACAGTAAAACATTGATAAGGCTGATTTGCTGAGAATTGAGATGATTATTTCCCAAGCATATAGGTATATATCTCTTGTTACTTTATAACAAAATATAAAATAAAATATTAGCAGAGTAGAACTTTTTGCTGTTTTTCTTTGCTGGCCACATTTAGTTATTGTCAGGATCCCAGTTTTTGTGTTCGTCTGTTTGTCTTGTCTTTTGTGTTTCTCTGTTCCACCACCAAGCCTTAGAAAAATCATGACAGTTATTGACATTTTAAAACACTACAGACCGTTTTACTAAAACTATCAGAGATGGGGTTTGCTCAAACATAAGACCACATTTTTTATATTTTTAAAGATTTGTGTTCAAAGATTTCACATAAAGATACTTGCCAACATCAAATTGAAAAATGGGAAGATATTTGTTTTATCTGTGTATCACAGGACAACAGTTGCTCCCAATCCTGTTCCTCAGGGACCCCTGTCCTGTATGTTTTAGGTGTTCCTTTGTAGCAACACACCAGAAAAGAATGGATGATTAACATAACATATCTAAAACATGTAGAGTTGGGGTCCCTGAGGACCAGGGTTGGGAACCACTGATCTAAGAGTAATTGGAGGGTGCCACAAAGAAAAGTGACCACAGCTACTAAACTTGAACTTGCAATAAAAAAAGCTTTATTATAAGTTGTAATTTCACAAAAAAACTAAAAATGTAAATGAATAATAGCAGATTTACATCCATGAGTGTGTAGAAAGGTAACTGTATTGCCAGATGCTGTGACATTTCTATCCCCCATAAGCTTACTTTTCTCTTTCATTGAAAAATCGATGAAATTACTGGGAGACACTACGGATCGGAGCTCATGGGAAATAACATTTTAAATCCGCAGACTCCCATGTAAATCATAACACATTACAACATGTAAGTAACTCATTCAATAACTCATTGCATCCTGTACCAAAATGAGTCTTTATGTAAAAATTGGAAAAGCTTTTGTTTATTTTCTCTCAAATTAAGGTTCTTCATATGTAATTAGAACTCGTAGGATGAGTTGAAGAACTAAAGGACTAAGATAGAATATATGAAAAACAATAGTTCTAACATTGTTAGAAATGTAAGACAACTTCACACTAGAGAGGACTACATTGTTATGTATCATCAGAGTCCTGCTCAACTGTGGAAAACTCAGAAGGTGTTCTGGGTGGTTATACGATTGCCATGTAGGTCAATAAACATTTGGAGGGCCTCCACATTGCAGTGCTGGGTTCTGCTCCCAGACCATTAACTACCCTTCTACCTTTTGTTTTACATAATTTATATCAGTTTACTGCAAATTACTGCCAATAGACTACTGATTCCTACCTGTGATCTACATGGACAAAGCATGTGTTTAATTATTGGTAGCAGCATATTTTATTTTCTGGTGCAGGAAATAAATTCAATATGCCGACAACATACAAGGCATCGATTGGTCCTATAGGAATTAGATTTTTTTTTAAATCACAGGCTGTTTTGATGCCAAGGTTACAGCCTAATTAGAAACCCATTTATTGCGATCCTATTGGTCTCTGTGATAATCTTGGTTGTCAAGAATTTGCAATCTAAAACGCAATAAATACTGAGCCACACTTTGAACAGGAGCGCATGCATGACAGTGTGTGCTGCGATAAAGGACATCCATCTACTGCTGATAAGCTGTCCAAAAGAATATTGCAGTTGGTTTTCCTCCACTCTACACCTGAAAATGACGGTTCAAGTCCAGATACCTGAGATTCGTTAAGAAAAAATTACTTAGGGGTTTATTATGATAGGTTGTCCAGGAGAGGAACAGTAGCAGTACAAATCTCTTTGGTGAATACAGTACTAGAACTCCATAACTGTCATGATTGCCTTTCCAACTGAGATATGTTTTCCAAATTTTAACCATGTTCAAATGGGGACTGTAGTCTTAATACAAAGTAAATGTATCAATAATCACAAATCATAAATGTTTCGAATTAATGAAATGCAATGACTTGTATGTGGTCAACCAGAGGTTTAAGGCTAAAGCAAAAAAAAACATCATGCCCGTTTTAGCTGGAATATCCTCTATTTCATTTTGAAAACAAGAAAATGATGGTTGTGTCTGAACATCCGCCCTAACACCTGGATCCCTCAATCAATATATAGAGCAGGAGCTATATAGTGGACTTTATGGTGAACACAGTTAACTGACCGTTAAGACAGATGATTGTTTTTCACTCCCTGTTGGTGACGTAAATCTGCCCCAAGCACTGTGCCTGCACCATTTTTGTTATTTGTCGCTGCTGTCGGGTAGTGACAGCGGGCCGCTGTGAAAACAAATCCCATACTGGAGGAGAGCTCTCCTCGCTAAGCATGCATGCAAATGCATTCTGGGATATATCTGCTTGTCGAGTGACCATGGATGATCACTACTTTTCAAGGTGCATTTTGGGAAATTTCGAGTCCTCTACTTTTTCTTCCACTGGATGTTTGGACACTCACATAAAATGGCTTAACCAATATATATAGTGCCCTATATAGTGATCAGGGTGGACATTCGGATACAGACAATGCCTATTTTTACCTTTTGGTTCCGAAGATGGTTGCGCATCTCCCCCCAATCAGATTGGTGAAAGTTTGATTCATCAGTTAACTCCACTAGTTTTGAAACAAAATCAAGCTGCAACTGCTGCTGCGATTGGGTAAAAATTTGAAATGGGAGGCAGGTACCCAGTCAGCTCAAAGAACTGTGCTGAATGTCATTCCCTTTTGCCAACACTTTCTACAGGAACCTTCCCTGATCATTATGTGCCTCCTTGGGCCTACTGTAAATCTTTCAGTTGACATTTATCAAATCATTCCTAAATAATTTGCTGTAGGAGAAGGTGTAACGCTTTGCAGACTCACTAACCTGCACAAGTTGAAGGTGATCTTCATTTTGTGAAAGCTCCTCTAGCTTGTCGTGTTTCGTCTTCAAAGATGCAACCTCCTCTTCTAGCTTCTCAATCAACCCTTGGACTTTTACATTGGATTTTTGAAGTTTTTTATCAATATATTCTTTCACTGTCCTTTGAACATCTTGCACTCTAAACACCAGATTGCCGAAAAGTTTCTCTGCATCCTCAGTTTCATTGTCTGCGTTCACCTATTGAAAGATAGTTTTGTTATTACCACGGATTTAAGCAATTTTCCTCAAATAATGCTTTTTTAAAAGCTCACTTTGCTCATTTTTGAGGATTTTTGAAATTCCTCTATCTTTTCCAGTCTTTCATTAATCATCAGCTTGATTTTTGCTTGGTTGGATTCAATGTTTTCCTGGAATATACAATTGTAAGATAATCAATATAACTGAACAAAATGCATATTATCAAGCTCTGTGGTTTGACAACATTGTGAAGTCAAAGTGCACAATATAAATTATCTCACTTTCTGCAGTTCCCCTTCCTCTTCAACAGGAACTGTCTCATGGTCTCTGTGTTCCACTTCACAGCACAGCAGACAAATACACACTCGTTCCTTTCTGCAGAAAAACTCCAGGATCCTTGCATGCTTTTCACAAACCTTCTCCTCCAGGTTCTCCACAGGGTCTACTAACTTGTGTCTCATCAGGCCAGGGACCCGCTGGTGAGGCTCCAGGTGTCCATCGCAGTATGAAGTCAGACACACAAGGCACGATTTGGAGGCCTTGAACTTTACATCTGTGCACACGTCACATTTCACCTGCCACGGTGTGTTGACACTTTCAAGTGCTTCGATTTTTCTTCTCTTTATTTGGACTGACATTTCTGCAATTACTTCATTCGTGGAAAACTCTGGTTTCATAAAGAATCGTTTGTTACACTTTGGACACTGATAAAACTCGCCATCTCTCCATTGCTGAGTGAGGCAGGTCCTACAGAAGTTATGACCACAAGGTGTGGTGACTGGCTCTGTGAAGAGGTCGAGACAGATAGAACAACGGAAATGTTCCTCTGGTAAAGTGTCCAGGATGCTGTTAGTAGACATTATATGATCTCTGAAGGAGGGAAAAGAAATTCTTATTACCAACTTTTTTACAGAATATGCATTATCTGTAGCATGACCAAGAGGAGCCATAACATTGCTCTGTTAGTCAGAGCTCCTCAGTTCTCCCTAAAAAATTGTTAAAAATGTAATGGGCAATGGTCATATCAAACCTTAATCAACAATAGTGGCAGCAACTTTAAGCAATTGGAGTGAAAGCCAGAAAAAAACATACCTTCAGTAGGTCAGCAGGTGAAAAAAGACACCAGAACTAGAATAAGGCTGGTCAATATGTTTGCCTGATCATTGAAGATAAGCTCAATAGTTAAAAAAAAGAAATGTTTTCAGGTATGTATATATATATATATATATATATATATATATATATATATATATATATATATATATATATATATATATATATATATATATATATATATATGGTAACTTCTATCCACTACAAATAAACAGCAGAAAAAGGAAATATGTGTGGAAAAGGATGCTGAAGATTATTTCACGAGTTGCATAATAATTCATTTAAATTCAATTCAGTTTATTCATATAATGCAAGTTCTCAAACACCTCATCTCAGGGCACTTTATGGAGACAATTCAGGGAGATAATACAGTCAGATTGGCTCAAAGTTTTCTATCCAAGAATAACCAGCTGATTACTTTGAGTCATTGACTCAAAATCAATACCTCACACCAAGCATGCTTGTAGCGACAGTGGAGAGGAAAACTCCCTTTTAACAGTTAGAAACTTCCAACAGAACCAGGCTTAGAGTGGGCAGCCATCTGCCGAGGCCGACTGGGGTTCAAGGAAACACAAGTAGAGATACAGAAAGAAGCAGAGATACAAAAGGTAACTGTCAAAAGCTCCACAGGCGGCAGCGTCCAGTAAATTCATAACCAGGCAGGTGAGAGACGACCCAACCCCCATGACAGAACATGAAAAGAGAACATCTTGTTAGTCACAGTCAGAGTAACAGGACTACACTGAAAAAAAGGCCAATCTCCAATATCCATAAACAAAGGTCTTGATGGCAGCAGCACAGCTGATATTTCTCTCCAGGATTGAGTCACAGCTAAATAGGAAGAGACCAGATGAGATTGAGATAGAGATTGAATTAACAAATACTGCAGAGTGGGCGAATAGAGATAGAATAAGGCAGGATGAAGAAAAATGGTCCCTAATTAAACTTAGCGCTGAGTCGTGTATAAAGAGTGAATGAAAAAGTTATGTCTGATGTCAGAATTGTATATAAAAACTAACCACTTCCGTTAACTGGAAAAGAAGCTAAACTGGTAACTTTTCACACATCAATCAATGACCTATGCAGCAATTATTTTCTTTGCAACTTTACAGTCATGCATAAAAGTGCATGTTTCAACTCATAATAGAAAATCTGCTGTAAGTTAAAGAAAGACCCAAAAATAACTACAAATAAACTTCGCTGAATTAAATTTTTTATTACTGCAAATTTTAGAAAATGGTAATTAGTTTGATATTAAAATAATAAATTGGTAACTGACAAATAATTTTGCAATGTGTTTTTGACCCGGTGTGATCTTTGAATTAGATACATGGTTTACAGCTTTTGTTTTTAAGTATTTGGTATTTAAAAATGCAGCGTGTGTTTTAATTTAAGACTAGACAGTCCTCCATGATACACAGTTACATAGCAGAACATAAAGTAATAGACACAAAGTCAGTTAAATGTTTGGAATCTGCCTAAAGGCAAACAAGGAATCTAACTCTGGCACGCCCAGTGAGTCATATCCACCGGAATGGGGTAAAACATTTTATTATTTTGTTACATCGCTTATAATGATTTTAAAGCAACAGAAATAACCAGATCCCTCCAAAAACAACTCACCGCAGCTGTATCACATCCTATGCAATAAACTCCAGTGTTTTCCGGAATATTTTACATGTAGGATTAAAGCCATAAGAAAGTGTTTCAGAGTTCATCTCCTCCAGTGAAACAAAGCCACTGAAACTGAAAAGGAGGCTCAGCCTTTAGCACTTTGTGGGTGTGGTCAGTTCACAAGCTTAAAAAAAACCCCTGAAACAAATAAAACTTATAACTGCTTTTTAAGTTTGAGGATACAAATTAGAAAGATATCTGTCATCTTGAAAAAAATGTTGCTTTATATCTCTCTTTTCTTGATGAAAAAAGTCATCAGTTATCATGCCACATATACATATATTTTAATACAGTTAAGTTTATTTATATAGCACCAATTCACAATACATCAGCTCAAGACAATTTACAGAGACAATTGATTCAGATCCTTCGATCAGTTTGGGAAAAAGGTTTCTATAAGGAAAACCGGCTAAATGCGTTAAGTCATTGACATGCAGGACACACTCCTCCTGATAGGGTTGTTGCAACTAACTAACAAGCAACTAAAAAAGTAATCACATTCAAAATCTGTATGTGGGTTAGAACATTATGACCCTTCAAAACATTTAAATCAATTCTTTCTACCTATAGCAACTGCATCCAAGGGAACATCCAATTCAGTTTCATTTTATATATTTAGAAAGCCTGTTATGTCATGTGAGCTACTTTCCTTCCTTCTACAACTGGGCCTTATAACACTTTTACTTTGATATTTTTGAGATACCAACTATGTCCTAGCCCTTTAATCACTTGATATGTGGAGTATCCGTATAGCTCAATCATCAAACCTGAGGTATTATATTCTAATACTTTTTAAATTATTTTCACTGATACTCGTTTAACAATGTGTTTGCACAGACATATGTCTAATTTTGTAAAAAGAAGAATTCAAATAAAATGTTTTTTTAAATACATCAGAAATTTGTATAAACAATAGGCACAACAATATTTATCAGAGTTATTCATTTTATGTTCAATATGAATATAATTTCGAATATGCCTTCTTTTTGAGGGAACAATAAGCTGCAATATTTTGCCTGGCCAAAAAAAAAGTCGGCAACAAAAAAAAAAGCCCACCTTTAGCTTTTATAATGGCACGTATTCGCTGTGACATTGTTTCGATAAGCTTCTGCAATGTCAAAAGATTTATTTCCATCCAGTGTTGCATTAATTTTTCACCAAGATTTTGCATTGACGATGGTAGAGTCTGACCGCTGCGCAAAGTGCTCTCTAGCACATCCCAAAGATTATCAATGGGGTTGAGGTCTGGACTCTGTGGTGGCCAATCCATGTGTGAAAATAATGTGTCATGCTCCCTGAACCAGTCTTTCACAATTTGAACCAGATGAATCCTGGCATTGTCATCTTGGAATATGCCTGTGCCATCAGGGAAGAAAAAGTCCATAGATGGAATAACCTGGTCATTCAGTATATTCAGGTAGTCAGTTGACCTCATTCTTTGAGCACATACTGTTGCTGAACCTACTGTAGATCTGACCAACTGCAGCAACCCCAGATCATAACACCGCCCCCACAGGCTTGTACAGTAGGCACAAGCCTGTGATTTTTTTCCGGCCACATTTCTTCCTTGAAGATGATGGGTCCCCACTATCCTTCCAGTTTTTAATAATGCGCTGGACAGTTCTTAACCCAATTTTAGTAGTTTCAGCAATGTCTTTAGATGTTTTCTCTGCTTGATGCATGCCAATGATTTGACCCTTCTCAAACAGACTAACATCTTTTCCACGACCACGGGATGTGTCTTTCGACATGGTTGTTTAGGAAATGAGATGCAAGTCATTGCACCAGTTGGGGTTAAATAACTTGTTGCCAGCTGAAAGATAATCGCCCATGCAGTAATAATCCAATAAGAGGGTTGTACCTATTTGCTTAGTTGAATCCAGGTGGCAACTTTTTTTTTTGGCCAGGCAGTGTAAAATACTATTTCAATCATCCTCTAGGAATGATAGGTTTGCTAAAGAGAATCCATTACTGGTTCAGTAATTATTATTACTTATTTATATCTGGAACTGAAATATTATGAGTCTAAAACTGACAAGTGTGTGATATTATAGTCATGAAGATTGTCCATGCTGCAAACACCACTCATAATTGGGTTCACCCTTTCTGAATGAGAGTTTTAAAGGTATCGCAGGGGTATGATTAAGAATGTAATGTCAGAGGCTACATCAACAAACAACCGTAGCTCGTTGGAAGTTGTTGTTCTGATCAACAGAGAATTCTAACAGAGAATATCTGAAAATGGCGTAGGCTCAACTAATGTTCAACTCCTACAGAATCAAAGAAGATTATATATATTATATTGCCTGTCAGAACTGTGGTAATCAGATGATGTCTAGTTAAAACAGTAAATCTGTTGACGTTTTGCATGAAGTTTTCCAAAGTTTCAAACAACAGAGTCAAATTCTTTGTCTAACAACCCATCTTTCAATGCATATACCGAGCATTTGTTTGTGCTGCTTTTTACAAACATATGAGCCTGATTGTTCTTCCCAATTCTGTGAGCAGTTGCTATTTCATCGTTTCATCTTATAAAACATCAATTGCACAAACCTTCATATAGGGTTGGCCTCTTCTGGAAAAGCATGCCTTGCATCACATCTTTCCACAGCTTCTTTTTAGAATGCTCCATGCCTTGATACATCTCAATTCAAGAGGCAAACCAACAAAACATGTTCTGAAAGACGATTTATTTCAGTCTTACTGTCACAAAATTATAAAGGGAAATTATGACACCTAGGGGTTTGAAAATAAATAGCATTTACAGCTCTGATGGATCTCACACTGTGCACTCATATCAAACTCTAACCAAGATCTGGAGAAGAACTGGTATTTTAACCTACTCCACTTCATCTGAAATGCTGTTTACAAATATGAAGCTGTTGTTACAACTTATTTTATGCATGTCAAAAAAGGTTCTTATACTCAAATGATAGTTTTTCTGAAATCAATTTCAAAGGGCTTACCTGAATGAAGCCTTCTCCTCCTCTGCTTAGGATACTGTTGTGCATATCCTAGAACTTTTTTATCTCTGTTAAGGGATGTTGTTTCTCTGTAACCTAAAGTAAATGTTTGGTAATATTAACCTTCTCTGAATACACAGTGGTATCATTTTGGAGTAAGTTTTGTTTGCTAGCTGTGCTGAACCAGAGACATGCAAGGAGAACCAAAGAGGATGTTGAACCTTTAGACAAATGAAAACAAAACCAGCACCCAGTGAGGGCTTGGTGGGATGCATAAAGATTAAACAAGTTGTTGATTAAAAATGTTAGCATTTTTGTTTATGGGGGTTATCTCTACAGCTCTGGGAAATATCTCTCTGTTTTGCATTACGGTCACGGTGCTGTTGAGCATAGACCCAGGTTTACTCAGCAATACTTCCATCAAACCTTTACACACAGCAGCCCTGTCAAGTTCACTGAGAGCTGGCAGAGATAACCCTGGGCATTGAGCAGGGCAACTCATAGGTTCATATAAGACTCTCTAGTTGTAGGAACCAGCAGAACCTTAAAGGTTTTGGCTGTTTTAGTTCTACCTTTCAACCCATACCTGAAAAAGGTATGTCAGGTATTTAGGACAACAAGGTGTAAATGTAGTTTACTTTAGTTTACTTTTCAGACTAAGCAAAAAAAAATAAAAAATTATACATTTATTCTAATTAAAATCTGTAATCATCTTAACTCCAGACCCCTTATTTAGGAAGTGAGAATTCAGGAGTTAGTCCACTTAGGATATTCAAGCTTAAAAACATTAATTAATCAAGTTGATACCATTGATACCAGTTCTGCAGTGAGCTGTATTTGCAAAATGCTTCAAATTGGTATTGACCTCCAAGCTACAGCTCAAGTGCGTCCATGGTTGCCATAATAAGCACTATATATCCGAACTGTGCAGGTGGTTAGGAGGGCACTGGGACCAGAGACATGGAATATTTGTGTGTATAAGTGGATTAATGAGAAAAGGCAGCATCAGTGGTAGGCCTAAATGCTTATAATTTTAATTTCACTCATTGCTGTTATCAGGATTCCTGGCCCTAGTGCTGGTTTGATTTATCACACCTGTCATCTCAGCCCTGTTTAAATCAGCCTTCATCAGACCAATCTGGTCACCTAAGTATATAACCAGCTCTCAGACCAGTCAGTAGTGCCAGAATGTTACGAGCCTTCGTGAGTTTTGTCCAGCATTCTTGTTACCCGATTGTCTGCCTGATTGTGACCCCATTCTGCCTCCTGATTCTCTGAGCTGAACTGTCATAGTGAGTTTTTGGCTCTCTTACCTGTTTTCTGGGCCCTGACCGTGCTCTTAGATTATCTCCATCAGATCAATCTGGATTATCTCTGGATCTCGGATCACCTGGCTTTGACCCTGGACGTGCTCTTGGATTCCAAACTCTGGTTTCTCTCCTTGATTATTCTGCCTGTCTCTGATCTCATGGATCTGACCCTTTGAATCCCCTGGACCAAGGAGACACTGTCAAAGAAGGATTCCAACAAAACAAACCTGGACGGACTCAGGAATCTTCACAGATTCACCTGTGATGACAAAAAACAACCAGCTTTTTCAGAAACTATTTAAGTTTCTCCTCGAACTCCCAGAAAGTTTGTGAGCCATAATTCAACAATGGAAACATTTCCCTCTGTTTCTGCCTGGTCACTCAGCTCTTATTTTAATTTTAAATTTTTTCACTTCTTGCATCTGGTTGAATTTTGGGTCATCGTTTTATGATCGTTACGGCTGCACATTGAATAGCAATTTTTAAGTTTCTATTGGCTATGCTTTACACAGACCTCAACTGTCATAGTTTTGTCAGTAGTAGAAATAGAACTTATCTTCAGTTTACAGGCGATATTGTATGCCTTGCTGTTAAATATATTATGTACCATAATTTCTGGAAGGAATTGTGCAATAACAAATGATCATGTAATGTTCACACTTTTAGAAACTAACTCTGAATCCACGATTTTCAAATTAAAAGCAAACTTTGCTTTCATTTCAAAATAGGACTTTCTACTGAGCAATCATCAAGTTCTCAATCTCGTTAGTTCAGGTAAGACACTTCCTAAGTTGACACGAGGAATGAAACATTTGCAGCTCATGCATAGCATAAAGTTGTGCACAGTGACTCTTGGTGTGCTAACTCCGGCCATATGCCACTGCTTGTGAAGCTTCTTGATTGGGTTTTGCCTGAAAAAATTTCAAGGTTTTGGTTGTCACTGTTGCTCCTTTTCCAATCATATTTGTTCCTTCCACTAAATGTTCTTGAAAAAAAGCTGGACATAGCAGACTGAATGGCAATGGACTGTTGTGGATTACTTTCCTTATAGTAGACTAGTATCCAGGAACTTAGATATGTCACCAATGTAAAACATTAGAATCACATGGTCTAATGACCTCCTCAGCATGCAGTCATGTTCTCCAGATTCCTTTTAATTAGCTAATTATTTACTTCAGGTTTACTTAAGGCAGAAACAAAGCTAAAAAATTACAGGATAACAGCCTTCAAGAACTAGACTTCGACACTTGTGTTATAAAGGTATCACTGGACATCTGTCAAGTTATTATTCTTCTACATTCTTGTCGAACCCAGCTTGAGGATCTAACTGAATAGTCTAAATGGGTTAGAACTCTCAAGCCAAAACGAAGAGGCATTAGTCGTTACCATATGTGCTTTCTCAATAGTGCTGGCAGTCTGCAAGGAGCTAGGGAGACAAATCAGGATGGTTCCTGCTTGTCTAGCTTCACAAAAATATCAACCTAAGAAAAATACATAATTGTGCCATGTGTACAGTGTGTGATACATGCTAATGCAAACAATTTCATACAGTGTGTTATGGGTTCAATAAGGGAGAGGTTCAGCTGTTCTGCAGATTTTATTTCTAAATAAATAAAAAACCAATTGGGAGAAAACAGGGAACCATCCATTCCAACCTACATCATGGTCAGCCAGTTACAATATTTTCAGCAATCTAAATACTTTATTTCATATCTGTTACAATGGCCATGTTTCATTTTCCTTTAAACTACCATTCTAGCATTTTAATAGTGGTTTAAACTTCTTTAGTGCTTTCAATTCTCAGATTTGTCAGCATACTTGACAAGCAGCATTTATTAGTCAACTCTGTCAATAAAACACGGAACTCAAGAACAACTCTTAATAAAAGTCTTAAATGTAGACACAGAGTGTTGAGCTTTAAGCCAACCTCCAATTCAGAGCTCCACCATCTTTCACCAGAAAAACGTCATGATAATTCTTCTGAAACAGCATCTATCTACTGAGTACTTGTATGCACCTCTTCTATAACACTCAGCATTAATACGTTGAACTGGAATATAATTAAAATCAGGTGAGCATTTCAGCAACCCAAGCCTCTTCCAGGATTTTCATGTTCATGATGAAACATATATTCTCACTGTTACTTGATGAGGCTTTTCTCCTGTACGGGACATATCACCATTGTGTCAGAGGCTTTGTCACAACAGTACAGGTAGAAAAATGGCAGAATCTTCCCTGTAAAAGTATCCTCAAAAGTGTAAATATGGGTCCGAGCTTTTATGTCATAAAAAGAGACTTGTCCTTCCTCGTAATCGACGTAGACACCAACTCTCTTTGGCTTCGGTTCAAGGGAGAGCAGCAGTGGCGGAGATGTTGACACTCGATAGCCTTGGCCTTTCTTCATGGCCAGAGCCCAATAACCATGAGTTGTGCTCACAGAGATCCTACCCTTTCTTTTGACAGAAGACTTAGCCAAACCGAGATACCAGTCATCCTTTTCCCCCACGTGCACCTCCCAATAGTGTCGTCCAGAAGTGAAACCATCTCGGCCGAGTACTATAACCACTGTGTCGAAGCGGTCAGGGTTGTCTGGAAGCTCCTGCCAGGCTCCTAGATGCCTCACCTGGTGTCTGTCCTGAGAGAGCTGGAGCCATGGGTTGGCTGTGTCAGGGTCCAGTGTTACATCGACTGCAAACACAAAACAACAGACTCAAATACAGGACCCTGCTAGATGCATAAAAAATAATTGACAGCGGAAATAGAGCAAATTATTACCTGAATACTTTAGAATTTTGTTAATCTCTGCAAGAGAAAAAATTATTTTTTTCTTAAATTAAATTAAATTAAATTAACAGCACCTGTAACAAATGATTTTACATTTCTTTTATACCCATGTAAAGAAAAAATCAAGATTCCCTACCACTATCAGACAACTTGTCAATAATTTCCTCTAGTGTTGTCTCCAGTTTAGACACAGATCTCCGGATCATGCCAATACATACGTCAGTGGCAACATTGGTTCCAGACCAGTCTTTAACAGACGGGGTGGCGCTTAAGACTGGAAAGCTCTGCAGAGAAAGGCCGAATACCAAATAACATTTTAGATAATAACAATTTTTTATGAAAACACTCTTTAAATATTTTCATGTCATGATTATTTTACTCCATTTAAAACAAGTATTGTCTCTTTTCCACTGGCTCCACTTTGGCTGGCTCTACTCCACTTGGGCAATCTTTAAATGTATACAATACTGCTTTTCCAGTACTGCTACTGGCCTTTTTCAGCCCTGATTAGGATAAGGTACAATGATAGATGAGGCCCAAAATAGGTCTGTACCTGTCATTGTAATGGAAACTTTTGAAATGGTGGGGTGAACTAGAGCCAGACCAGGTCAAGCCATTGGAAACATGTAATCCAATTGGACAAAGTCAAATACCCTATTTACACTACCCTTGAAAAACCGTGCCGACATCGGTCCGAGCTCAGTAACTGAGATAACTTATCGTGTGTAAATGGAAAGCAAACTGCAGACCAGTTCCAGAGGTGGGCACGGCTCTGTTTTTTTCCTGGATCGGTTCTCTGTTAACAAGAGCGCATTAGCAAAACGCAACATTTTAAATAATGGCATTTTAAATAATAACACTAAAGTACAGCAATAATAATCAAGCATAACTTTCTGAATGTGACGGGCGGCGCCATTTTGATTTGCTTCATTCCCTCCTTCTTCGTCTTTTTCTTCTTGTGTTTTATGGCGGTTGGCAAACAACTTTTGGTGCATTACCGCCACTAACTGCTTGATTTCCTCCTTCAATACTGGCAGTAATACCGCAGATCATCACTAGGAGGCGAGGAACCGAGATAGTGTGATGTGTAAACGGTCGTCAGAACCGAGCCTGGCCTGGTTAACTGATCCGAGCTCGGTTTTTTAAGGGTAGTGTAAATTGGGTAAAAGTGATATAAATAATGCATGGTTCAAATTATATTGGTTTTCATCATTTAAAGGAAAAGGAAGTAAGCAAACTAACTTGTCTTCATTTCTTCAGCACCTTCCACACATTATTGTAACCTGACGTGCTCTGTAAAGCAGGGCACGCGAAAACAGAAATTTAATGTAAATGATCTTGGAACGCCAGCCTTTAGGCATTCCAGATTTTATCGTTTTAAAAAGTTATTACAATGTTGAGTTACATTAGTTACAGATCATGAAAGAATGATACAGTTTGCTATGCTCCTTATTTCACAGATGTAAAAAAAAACAGTTTTGTTGACCTGTTTGATATGAAAGATAAGTGTTCTTGTCAGAAACAACATATTTTCTCAATGTAAGGGTGAATACCTACATAATTGTATCCAAAGTTATTGAGTAATTAGGCAAAAAAAAAAGTACAAAAAAGAGGTATTTTTCATTTTTATTTAAATTCAGAAGAAAATAGTCAAAGGGGGATCCAATTTCAAGCCTGAGACCTATATTAGTGTTTACATTTATCAGGTTTAATTAATAAAAAATAGTACAGTGTCAAAAGCAAAGTGGGGAAAAGGGATACTTTTTTTTTTCAAAGGAGGCTTCTATAAATTAAATTGAACTGGACTACATTTTGACTCCTAAGGACTGCCATAATGTACCCATTAATTCATAATCAGGTAATATTTATTTAAAACATAAATTATGACATAGGCCAACCTGTAGTACTCTTGATTTCAGTGATACAGTATATAATACAACAGGTTTAACAAACAAAAGCATGTAACTTGTTACTTATTCAAAGCTCTGTATTCTGATTCTGGTCAGAAAATCTTTAAAGCAATGCATACAAAGTTTTGTAGATCAGCTTTTTTAAGGAAATTTTATTTGTATTAAAGCAAGAAAAACATTGATCTATTAATTTATCATTTAAATAAATACAAAAGGATGAAGGATCATTTTCTTACATCTATTCTCTTGCTTTATGCTCTGATGATTCTTATAGCTCACCTGCTTACCTTTCATACAGATTTCAGATAAGCGTGTCACAAGTTTTATCTGCTATGTTGTGGCCTTGATATGATATGACTGGAGAAGAGAGCGTATGTGACGCACACGATGGGTTACATCACCGGTTTTATTACGGCTTGATTTCTTCTGACCATAAAAGGCCAGGCAGAGTGTTTTCCTCTGTAGCAGTAATCTTTATGACAACGCTGGCCTTTATGAGACAGTCACAATAACAATAGAGGAAAAGAGAAATAGAGATTTCTATTTGAATAAGTGGTTTCTTACTTTCAGGAAGTTAATATGGTCAGTCCTAGCCACGTTTTCTAGGTCTGTGTGCCTTGTCTTTAGCTCTGAGATTTCCTGCGCCAGTTCGTTGATGAGGCCCTCTGCCCACCTCTCCGTTTGCCTCTGCTTCTCCTCAATGACCAAAACCAGCTCGGACTGAGCCTTCTGGATGGAGCGCACCAGCTCTGAGAAGACCTGCACGCTCTCCTCAATTTCTTTTCTGGCACTGACCTAAAGTTAAAAACATAAAAACATTAATATAAAAGCTGGTGAGAGAGCATGACTGCCTTGTGTGGACATATTTCTTAATGTGTTTGTGTGACAGCTATTAATTCCCTTAAACAAGACGCTGGAGAAAAAACAAACTTATTTAAGAAGTAGGTGTTGCACTGTATATTGTTTTGGAAAAGGCATGATAAAAAGTGTTGTGATTACCGCTAAAAATGGCTCAAAAGAATGCTACAAGGTGAGACTCACTTTGTTGAGCTCTACAGATTGTTTGATCTCCTCCACCTTCTTCACTCTCTCCTGGATCATCTGCTGGACGTCGATCTCTGTCTTTTTCAGCAGCGCCTGCATACCATCACAAAAAACAAACCTCTTTAACCCTCGGCTAATTTGATATGAGGAAATGTAACATAATGTTTAGGCTATTACAGATAGGTTATATATTGTGTTGATTTTTTTCTGGATGTTTGCAGAATGATTTTCAGTTTTTATAATAACTTGACATGCACCCAAGATGTGGCAGCTGGAAAGTCAAACAGCTACAGTTTGTACAATCAGAGAGTGCACAATACATTCAGAAGTTTGTCATTTTTTTTCTTGAAATAAGTGTATTTTACTTTGTTTTAAGCAGATGAGTAGGATGACTGTTCCATGAACACTAGAAAAACATCGAGAAATAAGTAAAAATCTCCTAAATTAAGTGTATTTGCCCTTAATTTCAGTAGGTAAATAGGAGGATCTGCCAATGAAATTAGTATTTTTAACCCTTAAAATAAGACAATTAGATATAATGCACTTCAAATAAGAAACTGCAGTTGTTTTTTCTAATTTTAAATGTAAATTGTCTTATTTCATTGGCAAATGGTAAAACTGACTTATTTTAAGAAAGATTGACCTACTTGGATTTAACATTTTTGCAGTGAAATAAGATGATTTATATTCAAATTAAGAAAAGGCAACTCCATTATCTTTTTTTAGCACATAATATCTAATTATGTTATATATTTTAATGGCAGGAATACTCATTGCATCGACAGATCACCTTGTTTACCTGCTCATATTAAGGGCAAATACACTTATTTGAATATATTTTCTTTTTGTTTTTTTAGATAAATCTTTGCAGTGGACATAAGCTACTAGGTCACAATAACAACACAACTCTCTGGTGTGGATTCTGTGTCTGAGTCAAGTCACTTCTATATTAAGTATAAATATAGGTTAAATAAATAAGAAATGTAAAAGAGATCATTCAGGTTTCAAGATTAAAACTGAAGACTTTCAGCAGATTCAATGCAAAAATTGAAACATAAGCAATATTTTTATTTTCTCTTGACTGGAGCAGGTAAGTCAATTTATCAAATGAATAAGGCGAATTACATTTAAAATAAGAAAAAGCAATGCTTGATATCTTTTGTAAAGAGCATAATGTGTAATTCTCTGATATAAAGGGCAAAAAAACTCATTCTGTAGTTAGATAATCTTGTCCTGCTTAAGTTAAGAGCAAATAAATTTAATTTATGAAATTTGTATTTATTTTTAGATCCGTTAAGGCTGAACAGAGCACATGCATGCTCCTCAAATGTATCCTTTTAATGTGTCAGAGTCTGTGATTGCATAAACAGAAATATTGGGAGAATTAAAGAAATGTGTAAGCTCAAAGAAATCAATTTACACAACTGCATAGTTTTTCTTTTTCAGATAACTCCTGTTTTGACTCTTTCAGACTTAAATCCTTTAATTCAGCAGAAGAGGTTCCTGCTGTAGTGGGTACTTGTATTACAGAAGGCAACAACCTTTAGAGGTGTTGGTTAACACTTTCAATGTTAAAGGAATAGTACACCCAAAACATGATTAGCCTTCATTTTCTACTCACCCCCATGCTGAACAACACCCTGGAGTACTTTTTTGATATCTCAAATGCATCTGGAGATCTGGGAGGCTTCTTGCTGTCTGCTGACATTCAAATAATGAAGGTCTATGGTGTCCGAGACAGAAAGGTCCATAAAAGTCCACAAAAAACATGTCAATATTCCTCCATACTGCTCGTCCAATGTATTCCAAGTGTCCTGAGTGGGTAGCATCCAAAATTTACTCGAAACGAAGTCATTTAGAATGTTTTTAGAGCATAAACAGTAGTGTATAGGATTTCCTGAAAGCGCGCACATGCGCGTTCACGAGCCTACGGAAGCCGGCAGACCAAACCAGATGAAAGTGCGCATTCAGCGTCTGCTCTGCCAATAATGCAAGCGTAGAAGAAGAAATGTGCTGTTTACCTGTGCAAAGAAAGAAACAACGAAAGAAAAATGTCTGAGGACTTCAGTGTTGAGGAAGAGCATGAGTTCTTTGCCGAGCTGAATGCGCTGGTTTGGTCTGCCGGCTTCCGTAGGCTCGTGAACGCGCATGTGCGCGCTTTCAGGAAATCCTATAAACTACTGTTTATGCTCTAAAAACATTCTAAATGACACTGTTTCGAGTAAAGTCTGGATGCTACCCACTCAGGACACTTGGAATACATTGGACGAGCAGTATGGAGGAATATTGACACGTTTTTTGTGGACTTTTATGGACCTTTCTGTCTCGGGCACCATAGACCTCCATTAGTTGAACGTCACCAGACAGCAAGAAGCCTCCCAGATCTCCAGATGCATTTGAGATATCAAAAAAGTACTCCAGAGTGTTGTTCAGCATGGGGGTGAGTAGAAAATGAAGGCTAATCATGTTTTGGGTGTACTATTCCTTTAAGGTTTTTAAGTCTGAAATGGAGGTCTTTTTTTGTTTGTTTTTTTGTAGTTCTTCTGAGCAATGCGTGCTCGGACCTCCGGGGGAGATTGAGGGATGTCCACTTCTGCATGGATTAGAATACTTATAAATAAACTTTCCCTCTGTAAAATCCCAGACTTAAAATAGCTTGGAAGTGGCATGTGGTTGCTGATGTAGCTAGTCCTTAACACTGTGTAAACATACACCCTTATTTAAAAAAAAGTTCTTTACTGATAATGACATATTCATTAAGTGAAATAGAAAGTGCCTTGCTACTACATTTCTGCTTAAATCTAATAGAAAGCTCAATTATGGTTTAATGGATAACTTTAATTTACATTGAACAGCTAACACTAAGAAGTTGTACTTGCTGTTAATATTTTTCATGCTGCACCAATTAGATCCTTGCACAGTTTAGTTTCCAATAAATAATTTTGTGGCTCTTTCAAGTTGTTTTAAATATTTCCTGCAAAGTAATTATGGTTGGAAGGATTTACATATTCATTATAAAAGAGTAATGCCAATGTTAATTTACATTTGTTTTCAGTTTAAGCATCCATCCTAAGAACAAGGTAGAGTTCTCAGCACAAAAAATAAAAAATAATGCCTCCTTTTCAGTTCAATTCATTTTATTTATATTGGATGGATGGATGGATGGATGGATGGATGGATGGATGGATGGATGGATGGATGGATGGATGGATGGATGGATGGATGGATGGATGGATGGATGGATGGATGGATGGATGGATGGCTGCTCAGTAAATGCCTTTGCAAATTATCAGTCATCTTGGTCATTGCAACCATAAAACAGGCTTTATTTGGAGGCAAACATATTTTTACTCAGTCACTCTGGAAATTTTTGGCATCTATCCATTCTGTCAGCTCACAGTAGAGCAATCTGTAGTTCGAGCACTGATGTTCTGATTCAAATGCCAAACTCAAAACCCATACAAAACATGAGACAACCCAGGAGAATGGCCGGTTGGTCTTCGATTCGCATCTGATTGGGAAAGTGTCTAGGAAAGTTGTGTTTTGCCATGCCTGTTGCCTCTGATTTGCAATCTTTTTGTGGCTATATGTATGTTACAAAGTGTAACCTACTGTATGTCACAGATGATGAAAAATATTTGCTTTTTGTTTTAATCAGCCGTGGCCTTTATCTCTCCACACATATAGCTGAGCAGGGTGAATAGATGCACATCATTTAAAAATCTATTTCGCTTGGACATATACCTAAAGTTTAGAGTAACCTCATTTAGTTTATAAACTCTGTAACACCTGTAAAAGAAACTGAATGAATAACCACCAGCCTGTTGTCAATGTAAAAGTTTACTATATAACAGATTAACATGCCGTAATTGCCTTACCTTAGCTCCCAAATATTTGATGCACAATTAGCTAAATTTAAGTCTAAACATGATAAAAACGTTCCAACCAATAATTTTAAATTGCAATTAATATATATTATTATTTTACATGTTTGTAGGGGCTTATGGAGATGTTTTTGGCAGCACTGTTATTTAGCACCAAGACAGTCCTGCGTTTGAATTCTTTTAGCTTTCTTTAGCTTTCTAATTATAAGAAGGCATGGCATCTGTTATCGTTTTTATGCTGATGATATTCTGATATATGTGACTGTTAAAAAAAAAATGCCCTCTCCCTTGCACTGGCATGCAAGGGACATTAAAGTGTGACATTAAAGCCTGGTTGGCTAGGGACTTTCTATATCTTATGAGAAAAAAAAAAACTGAAGTGATGGTGGTGTGATGGTGAATCCCCCCATGTTGACTGCGCCTTTTCCCAGGTCTTTTTTTAAGCCTGTCATCTCAAACTTGGGTTTTAAGATGGACAATGATTTTAAATTGGACGGCAATTCAGCTGTGTTTTAAAGTTCATCATATCAGACAGTTGGCAAAGGTCAAACCTTTTCTTGCACAACAGCACTTTGAAACAGTAATCCATGCCTTTGTTGCATCTCGGCCGGATTACTGTAACATATTTTATTTTGGGGTGAGCAGGTCCTCCTTAGCACATTTCCATTTGGTGCAAAATCCAGCCTCACGCCTCCTACGTCCTGGAATACGTAAGAGGGAGCACATAACTCCCATTCTGGCCTCCCCCCCATTGGCTTCCTGCTTATTTGAGAGTTAATTTTAAGACTTTCTTATTTGTTTTTTAATTATTTAAATGGCTTGGACTCTCCTCAGCTGCCTCAGGTCAGCTGACCTGCTGCTGCTGGAGGTACCAAGGTCTAAATGGAAGCTCAGAGGGGACAACTCTTTTTCAGTGAGCTCCCCCTCCTCATTAGAAAATCCTCTTCACTGTCTATTTTTATAACTTGTCTTAAAACCTATTTTTATTCTGTGGCTTTTAACACAGCATGAGATTCTCACTGTTCTATTTTTGTTTTATTCCTTTGAATGTCTTGAACGTCTTTGAACATCTGTTGTTTTTATACAAATTTAACTTTACTTGCTATGTACAGCACATTGTAGCAGCTATGGTTGTTTTAAATAAAGTTGAGCTGAGTTTAGAGAAGCACCAGCCCTAGCCAAACAATCCTGCATGTATAAGAGAGCATACATGCTGCATGCTGGACTATCTACTGTATGGGTGCTGATAAATGTTTCTCACCTTCTTCTCAGACCATTCTCTCTCCACAGGAACGGTATAATGCGCCCTGTGGTCGGTCTCAGTGCAGAGGACGCACACGCAGGTCTGATCTTTCTTACAGAAGAGCTCCAGGAGACGCTCGTGCTTGGGGCACATCCTGTCCTCCATGTTGGCCACAGGCTCTATCAGCTTGTGCTTGGTGAACCTGGCAGTGTGGGATTTGAGATGCTCATCACAGTAAGAAGTCAGACACACAAGGCAGGATTTGATGGCTTTTGGGCGGCCTTCGCCTAAGCAAACATCACAAAGGACCTCCTCCCAGGAAGAAGATGGGAGAGGAGGGGTCAGAGATGTTGGTGAGGGTTGAGGAAGCGAAGGAAAAGTTGTGTGAGGTGAGAGTGGAGGTGATGCTTGAAGTGTTAAGGCTTGAGGTGAATCTTGAGGTGATGGTGGAGGAGAGGTTTTAGAGGCCAGAACTGGTGGGATTAGTGGCGGTAGCTCCTCTCCTTCACTCTTCTTCGCCTCCTGCTTATCTCTTCTCTTTTCTTGCTTCTGTTTCAGCTCCTCCATAAGGTGCTGCTTCTGATTTTTCTCCAAAAGCCTCTCCTCATCCTCCTTTACCTTTCTCTCCATTGCCCATCTCTTTGTTTTATTCACCACTTCTTCTCCACGTCCCTTTCCTTCAGTGCTTTTAACTCTTATCTGCTTGAACTGCTCTGCGATTTCCCTCAGGACCGTGTTCACGCTGATATCCGGCCTTTTGTGGAAGGACTTCTTGCACATGGGACACTGATACAAAGGGCTTGTTTTCCAGTATCCCAGGATGCAGCCTTGGCAGAAGTTGTGTCCGCACGGAATGGACACAGGGTTGGTGAAGACGTCCAAACAGATGGAGCAGTGCACCTGCTCTTCTGACAGGTTCCCAGTAGTGGCCATTCCTACACGGCGGAGAGGCAGGGTCATATTCAGCGAATGCAACCAGCCTTTGAATGGGACATCAGACCTGCTGTGATATTGAGGTTGCCAGGGTTAGACGGCTTTTAGTTTATTTGGGGTCATATGCATGCGCATGTATGGACCAAAGCTTCAAGGGGATCATTTTCTCATTCAAATTGTATTCCACTTGCCAATGATTTTCAGCTACTTCGAGCTAAGTGTTTTGCACAGTGGATCCTCTCATCATATGAAAACATTTAACTAAAACAGTTAAATGAATAAGTACATGAAACTAAATGGGTCACTGCATGAAAAGTGGGATTTTCGTCAATATGCGGCACTGTAGATTGTCGTGGAACTTCAGGTTAGCGGCAGTTTACGACAATTTGCAGGCTTCGCCGAAAACTCCCGTAAATTGTCAGAAATTGACATGGACTTTCTTAGGCAGTGTTCCCCCCATGCCTCCCCCCCATGGAATTCTAGGGGAGGCTTTAACATGTAAATGAACATGCTGTGAGCTATACAAATGCAAATCAGGGTTGCAGGGGGGGGTTTACTCCAAGTGACATTTTTCTAAAAGGTAAGAAAATCTCTGATACAAAGAGATCAGGCTCAGTATAGTCTCTTACATTTTAGCTTGAATTGATTTATTTAATTAAAGTATAGAGACCAAAACAGATCTTTAGCTGACAGAGCAATACATTTAGAGCAGTAATTATAAAAAAAAAAAAATTGCATTTAAGATAAAAAATAAAATGTTGTCTGTCAATATGCTCAATTCACAATTACTTAGGTGGAAAAGTTTCAAGAAATGAGTCTGAGATGATTCACTTTATAACATGGCGCATTATCCTGCTGGAAGTAGCCATCAGAAGATTGGTACACTGTGGTCATAAGGTCCGGCCAGGTCAAGATCCGCAATTGCAATCGCACCAAACAGGAAAAAGAACATCGACAAATTCCGGTTCGTCAAATTAAAATATAGCAGCAACAGATCGGTGACTAGAAATTATAGCACAATTCTTATATATTAAAAAAAAAAAACTAACACCGTTTATTTTATGATGAAGACATAAAAACCTGGATGACTCTTAACTTTCTGGTTCTGAATGCAGACAAAACAGAAGTTATAGTCTTTGGACCAGAGTCTCTGAAAAAGAACCTGATTAGCCAGTCACTTCATTTGGATGGGATTAAACTGATTTCAGATAATAAAGTAAAAAATCTTGGTGTTATTTTTGATCAGGACCTGTCATTTAAATCCCATATCAAAGAGGTTTCTAGAATTTCCTTCTTTCATCTGAGGAACATTGCAAAAATTAGAAATATCCTGTCCAGGGGTGATGCTGAGAAACTAGTCCATGCATTTGTTACTTCAAGGCTGGACTATTGTAATTCTTTACTATCAGGAAGTCCACAAACTGTAGTTAAAAGCCTTCAGCTGATCCAAAATACAGCAGCCAGAGTTCTAATGAAAATTAAAAAGAGAGATCATATCTCGCCTATCCTGGCTTCTCTTCATTGGCTTCCTGTTAAATCAAGAATAGAATTTAAAATCCTCCTTCTCACATATAAAGCCTTAAATGGCCAAGCTCCATCTTATATCAGAGATCTGATTGTTCCTTATGTTCCTAACAGAGCACTTCGCTCTCAATCTGCAAGTTTACTAGTGGTTCCTAGAATTTCTAAAAGTAGAATGGGAGGCAGATCTTTTAGTTATCAGGCTCCTCTCCTGTGGAACCAACTACCAGTTTTAGTCCGTGAGGCAGACACCCTGTCTACTTTTAAGGCTAGGCTTAAAACTTTCCTTTTTGATAAAGCTTATAGTTAGGGTGGCTCAGGTTATCCTGAGCTATCTCTATAGTTATGCTGCTATAGGCTTAGACTTTTGGAGGACATAGGGACCCCATTTCATCATTCTGCTTCATTCTCTCTCTGTTCTCCTATTCTACAGAATCTGTTAGTTCAATCTCTAACCTTCTGCTCTCTCTGCTTTTCCTCAGAGTAGCTTTGCCTCGTCTGTTCCTGTTTGGCTGTGACGTCATCCTGGAAAGAAACATCAGCTGTGCTGCTTCTATCAACACCCTTGTTTATAGATGTTGGAGATCGGCCTGTTTTCCAGTGTGGTCCTGTTTCTCTGACTGTGACTGAGTGGATGTGCTCTCTTCGTCCTCTGGCATGGGAGCTGCCTTGGAGCTCGTCTGCCTGGCTGTGTGTTTCCTGGACGGGGCCGCCTTTTACAGCTGCTTTTTGTATCTCTGCTTCTGTCTCCTTGAACCCCAGTCGGCCTCGGCAGATGGCCGCTCACACTGAGCCTGGTTCTGCTGGAGGTTTCTTCTTGTTAAAAGGGAGTTTTTCCTCTCCACTGTCGCTACAAGCATGCTTAGTGTGGGGGATTGTATTTGAGTCAATGAGTCAATGTAAAGTGCCTTGAGATGACATGTGTTGTGAATTTGGCGCTATATAAATAAACTGAATTGAATTGAATTGATTGGATCCAAACTATTGGTTATTCACCAACGAGGAAGCAGATTTCTCATCTCCATCAAAATATTTATTTTATACCGAGGGACTTAAACTTTAATCAAATCCATTCAAAAGAAACTTCTTATTACAGGAATGAAAAGAGATGCTGAGTTTGGGAGTAGTGAACAAGTTCATAAAAAAAAAAAAAAGCAGTTTTGAATTATCCTTATCCCCGTTACAAAAATCTACAAAAATATATATATATATTTGGGCAGAAACTGAACATATGCTGGATGATGGTGGGATTTTTTTAATATGTCATATTAAATTAAGCGCTCACAGGGTTCATACAGGAATGAGTGACTCTAATTTAATGCTATTTTAATGCTATTTGAAATGATTTTAATGCCATCAACAAGAACCATGTACACAAGTTATTAGTGTACATGACATATGAAGGAGCTGTAAGCAGAGTTCCATGACTCCTGTATGTATGTAAACACACACACACACATATATACGTATATATATATACTCTAGCTTTTTCTCCGCCTGGAGCGATATAATATATCTGACGAAATTGTTTTTATAAGCATTTTTTATTAAAGAATTATAAATACTTCGATAAACATATTTAAATAGTTTTAGTGCCAATTAAGGCCTTGATTTAAAAAAAAATGAATGATTTTTTAATTATTTTTATTGATCCGCGGAAACCCCGGTTCATCTCGCGCATGCTCTTTACGATCTCCAAGAAACTCAGAGCGTAGCTCTGGAGCCACAGCGGCGGATGGATGCTTTGCTTTGTGCAGGCGGTCTGGAGCGGAGTATGTGGGGTTTCGGGGTAAAACTCCTCTTGGACGCGATGGCGACTCTGCATCGAACAAGACAAACTCAAAGAAGAGATGCTAGCGGTAAATATATGTTCGATTACTGCCTGCTAGGCTAAAAGCAGCCTAGCCTAAGCTACGGCTAATAGCAGCCTAGCCTAAAGCTACAGCTAATAGCAGCCTAGCCTAAAGCTACGGCTAATAACAGCCTAGCCTAAAGCTACGGCTAATAGTAGCCTTGCAAGAACAGGCTTTATTAAAGTGTATTTTTTGATTCACAGGAAGCAGTACGCCGTCTTCACAACTCGGAGACTAAATGCAAGCGCTATGAACCGGAGCAAGGGTAAGATTTAAAGAATATGCTTTCATTCTGCGGTAAAAGGAAATGGATACGGATGGATACCGATCATAGCTGTACATTTTGTTTTCACAGACCTCCTATTTGCTCGGAGCCATATCAGCAAGTCCAGATTTGCACGATGTTGATAAAGACGACATTGTGTGTAAGTGACTTGTTTTAATGTTTTCTCCTTCCTTGTTACTGTGACTTGCGTTTGATTTTTTATTCATACCACTCTCATTTAATTGTTTTCCAGCTGCCTGTAAGACGTATTTTCAGACAGTACGCAGGAGCTTCAGATATACGCAGCCAGCCAACACGTTGCGTGCGGAGGCTATCTGCTCGGAGTCGGGCCAGAAGAAAGAGGGTAAGACTTTATTTGGTGACTATTTTTCAGGTGCATTAATAGATGTGTTGTGTCCATACGCAGTGCGCTGATTCATTGTTTTTTTTTTCAGCTGCTGAAAGCGAGGCAGAGTGTGCTAGCAGATGAGGAAGTGGAACTCTGGAAGTCCGCCATCGTCGGCCTCATGTCCGACGAAGAAGATGGCGTCGTTGGCGGGGTCTCTGGATGGATTGTACGGTCGCCGCCATTTTCACAGGCCGGATCTCACTGAACTCTGTGTTAAGCTGCAGTCCCGGTTAGAAGCGATGCCGAAGTACAGGGCCACGCACAGTAGGCGTCTGCACATCGGACCTGCCCCGGAGGGAATGCTGCCAGTTACCTCCAACCCCGAGGAAGCAAACGGACCGTTCACGAAGTTGTAATTTTTAGATACGCATGTGTTTGGATACGCGTTGTATATAGTTTTGTGTGTTTTAATAAAGCTCTTTCTTTGCATAAACAGCTTCCTGGCAATTGTTCATTTCCTGTATAAAGTCATTCATGTCCTTGATGGTAGACTAATAATTGTGTAGTAGTGTAGGATAACATAAATACACAGCATATGCATGAATAAATATATGAATGAATAAATATATATTCATAAATATATATATATATGTACATTTATATGTAAATATATATATATGCCAACCAATCACGAACGACTTTACTTGTTTAAAAAGAAGTGATTCCGTCCAATACTCAGTAAGAAAATTAAAGCCTGGCGTGGCCACGTGTGGTTTTGCTGCCAATCACGAGCAATTTCACTTGTTTGAGAATAGTGGTTTCCGCCAATACTGAGTAGGTTATTCAAGCCAGACCTGGCCAGCCACGCGGGTTTGCTGCATTCATATGCTAATTAGGGCCATTAGTACAGCTGATCGCTCTCCACATACGTCAGAGTCCGTTTCCGACAATTTGTGGCACGACAAACGCGGACAAGCGCGGGTTGCAAATTGTCGGAAACTGACGAAAATCAGGCAGATCTGCGGGAGTTTACGGGGGTTTACGGGGACGAAAATCTCACTTTTCATGCAGTGGGTAAGACAGAAGGAAGGAGATCTGTGGTTGTTTTACTAGCTGAACATTATGGATTTCATTCTAAGACACACAAGGACAAACAAGGACAAACAAGGGCAAAAGAGAATAGAAGTCTGAAAATAAACTGTACTCTGTAAAATGAGTTACATACTGACTAATACTTTCTTTTTTGTTTTACTTTGGATTTTTTGTTGTTGTTTGTCATGAATATGAGAGGCTATGAGGCTATGCCTGTTGAAATTACTTTTTGAGTAGGCTTAAATCTTTCCTTTTTGATAAAGGTTAGAGTGGCTTAACTTATTCTGAGCTTTTTCTGTAGTAATGCTGCTATGGGCTTTGGCTGACAGAGGACGTACAGACCACTTTTCTTTATTATTTGTTAGTTCAAACCCTAACCTCATGTTTTTTTTGCTTTTTTTCATAATTTGACAAGAAGGCCGGGAGGTTTGACTTTCTCACGCCAGTGGTGCTGATCCTATCAGCAACTTTTATTATAGATGATTGATTTGGGTCCGTTTCAGTTCTTGGTCCTGTTTCTCTCCTAGACATAACTATGGGGCCTGCTTTTATTGTAACTAACTTGCTCTTCTTAGTCCCTTTGACATAGACAAATGTCTAAGTTTATCTGTTTAACTGTTTCTTTCCTAGACAGAGCCACCTATGGAGCTAGTTTACTTTCCTAACATAGAAGGTATCTATGGATCAGTGCCTTTGTTCTTTTTTTACTCTCTAAAAGAAAATGCAGCTCCAATATAAATTAATGACTTTAAACAATAAAAAGTAATTGAAAAAGGTTTGCACAACTTTATTTATTTAAGTTTTCAACTTATTAACTTCATTCTGACCAAGTAACAAAGATATTCTTCAACCATCTGAACTTGACTTTCATGCATCATCTGTGTTAGTTTGACAGTTAGCCCTTGTTTGTCTGTGGTTAAATTATTTTCCTGGATCTTGTATGAGTCAGCAGTAAATTAAATTCTGTCAAACGTCTTAGACACTTCTCAAAAGGTTACTGGGAAATAAAACAAATTTCGATAAGAAATTTGGCACTAAATGTGTCATTTCACAAAACAGAAAGTAAAACACTAATGGAGAACCACAAAGACACTCACCAAAGAGCAGCTGCCTTGAGACTCCTCTCTGTGCTGATATCTGAGACCCGCTTTGACCACTGCCACCTCTAGCTCTCCCTGTCCTGACCCACAACTCAGACCCCAAAATAAACCTCCCCTCCCATCTCTTTCTGTCACCCTAGATACAGACTTAAGCCTCCTGGCTGCAGCCCTCTGAGCCTAGGAGGGAACTGCCTTTACTTTCCTAATACTTTTATTGATTATAAATTTTCCCTAAAACGCAGGAGATGTTAAACAGAACCATTTCAATGCTACATGGATAAAGTATAATTTAGATAAAGTGTTTTAATAATAACTACTGTCAGATCTTCATTAAGTCAATAAATGTATCATGTATTTTTTTTCTCACTTTCATTCAAGTCTAGTTTAACTAAAACCCCAGACAACATGTATGTTTAGGCATAATATTCATAATATGTTTTCATTTTTGTAAATCTAAATCATCTAAATTGATTCTAAATATTTGGCTATCACTTTGATTCAGAATCCTTATTGCAATTGTAAACATACAAGAGATTAATATGGAGCTAAAAGAGTCTCAGAGATAAATTAACAATCTGTATATTATCACAACGGAGTCAAAATTCCCCAGGACACCATACAGTATCTGTGAAGCATAAACAAGAATATCTTGATTTACAAGCTGCATAGTATCAGAAAACATTCCTGTATTTGTGTTCAGATGTCCGAAACTCCCCTGACTTGGGTTGATACACAAATGATTTTTATCTAACAGAAGAATGTGCAGCCTATCAGATATCTACCTTGTTTCAGCTAAACATAAGAACACACCCCACATAGGTGATGATTTAGTGCTGAGCCAATTGCATGAATCTGATCACAGTTGGCTATATTCAGCATTCTGCATAACAGAATTAGTTTTACAGTAAAATTGTTTTCAAGTGTGAATTTGAACCATCTGGTTGGTTTACCATGTGTTTAATACCAAAAGGGTTCAAACAAACCACCTCCCCAGTGCATCCCTTTTTTAAACTCTACAGTTTAAAACTCTTCTTCACTAAAACAAGGAGGATACATTTCCCAAAAGTGACTATGCTAGATGACTGAGTTTTTATCTTTAAATGCTTTTAAGTTGAAAGTGAAAGAATTTGAAGCAGCCTCAATGATCTGTTATTGTTTTACTTGATTTATTTTTATTTTTATGTACCTGTCATTTATTTTAATGTATCTATGTTTAATGTATCTTATGTAACTTTACTGACTCTTGGCCAGGACTCCTTTGAAAAAGGGTTTTTTTAATCTCAATGAGATTTTTTCCCTTGTTAAATAAAAAAAATAAAATGCAAAATGAAAGGCAGGGCAGAACTTGCATCCATAGGAGACCCCCCCCCCAAAAAAAAAAAAAAAAAAAACAAGCTTTTTACAACATATTCTGTGGTCTGAACAGATTGAAGGCGAAACAAAACAAAGTCAGTACAATCAAGCAGCAGCTTAAAATGTGGATCTTCTTTTCTGCTGCAGGACCTGAGAGACGTACCAGAATGGATAGATGGAGCCATGAAATCTGCTCTTGCTTCGGATGGAAACGAAGGAACAATGTTTGGTCCAGTTCAGCAATTCAGAAATCCAGTGCACTCAGTTCACCAGGCACCTTTATGGGAGATTTGAGTTAGTCTGATCCAACAATGAAGAGAACTTTGCAGGGCTTTAATTTATTTAATCACTTGCACCAGTTCACGTACATCTCCGTTTAAAGTGTAAGTCATTGATGATCTCAAATCTGTAGCTGTGGTGCAGTCGGGGAGCTGCACAGCCCCAAAACAGCAGCAAAAATAGTGAGACACAGTTCAGCGCCTTGCAGAGTTACCTCAGCAATAAATGGGCCAGGAATGTTCAATGGGTGCTAAACAAGGGTTGACCAGGTCAACAATAGATGCTTTTTCTCATCTGCTTCGTGAAGGCGGTATGTAAGACTACATTTAGTTCTATCTAAATTGTAAGCAAAAATCCAGTCTTTTTGATGTTTTCCAGGATATTCCAGCTAAAATAGATTGAATAGTGGAGTTTATATGAAGTACAACAAGTACAACTATTTAAACTTTCTTTGTTCCAGCCATCAGTGCCAGCTTATTCTTGCTCTCTCTGGCCAGTGGTGAGAGTATTTTTAGTGTTCCTTGGTGTTTCTAATTTCCTGATCCTAACCCGCTCTACCTCTAAACCACTGAGCTTGCCTGTCTGATCTCAGTGGTGAGAGGGTTTTAGCATTACTTTCATGTTTCTTATTACCTAATCGTGACCTGTTCAGCCTCTTAACTACTGAGCCTGCCTGTTCCCATCTGAATGGTTTGCCTGAACTGTCTTTGGACTCCTGGACCTCTGAGCCTGCCCGTTCCTCTTCTGATCTGTTTGCCTGACCTTGCTTCTGACTCCCTCATGTTTGTTGTTCTCAGGGGCTGCAGTATCTGGGACACTCTGGGCAGCACCTGGCGCATATTGTTGGCACCCCACCGGCTGGACATTGTTCTCTGGTCACGGACTGAATTAGTAAACCAAGTTGATGACTAACATTCACAACTTTCCTCCATTAGGTTTACATGGTCTTTAACCTGTGTTTCCTTTCTCAAGAGGCTCCTGCCTTAGACGTCCTAGCCACTGCCACTGCAGATCTGTTTCATCATTGTTTTAATAAACACTTATGAAGTTAGCCCACTGTCTGTCTTGCCTTGCATACTGGGTCCTCCTGTTCTGAGTCTTGACAGTATCTCCTCCCAGTGTTCCTACATCTCCTTCTGCTTAATGAGATCATTGAATCTTACAGAGATGCTCTGTGAACTAGGATATTTAGATTTTCTTAGGATAATAATCATTGATGATGTGTGAGTTCGTTACACCCTAGTGTTACCTGCCTGTTGTGTGTCAGAACTAATGTTTTCCCCTGTAGTTTATCAAATTAGGACAGTTCCTCTGTCAGGATATACAGTTATCCTCTTTATTCTGCATGTGGCAACGTTTTGGGAATGGAATGAGAACAGTGCCCTTGATCTTAAAACAAAGTGTAATATTTTGATAAGATGGAGCCATGGGTGTCTCCTCATCTGCTAAATTGTATGATGTAATGATATGATGATGTGGCACACTGAAGAAATGAATTACAACTACTCAACCACAGGGTTGTGAACGCTGACGATTTACAAATTAGCACTGATTTATTGCCCAAATATTAGAAAGATTTGATAAACAATTTTTTTTCTTTAAGAATTTTCATATGTATGTCCAAGAGGTAAAGAATAATCAAATAACAAAATACTTTGAAAAGAAATTGAATTAATTTGTAAAACTAAACTTAAGTAAAGACATGGGTTGCTAGATGACATGTGATATTGAGCTAAAGAGGACCTTCTTCTTTTTAGAGCAAAATTAAAAGAAAGATTCAACATTTCTTTACATTTGAACATCTTCACACTTATTGAACCTTTTCGCATTTTTGTCAGATTACAGCCACAAACTGGAACATATTTTATTGTAAATTCTTCAAACAATAACTCATGATTGTTAATCAGAAAGGAAAGCACCACCCACCTTCCAATAAACTCTAAACATTCCTGCTGAAGAAAAACACAGTATGCACAGTATGAGGCAGCCAGTACCATGTTCCACACCAGGGATCATGTGTTCCATATTATGCATAGTGTTACTTGACATGTACACATAGGATAGGATAATTGAAAAAGGTTTGCATTTCTCAAATCATCTGTAGCTTGTATGCACTTGCAGAGCAGATCTTCAAAAAGGAGCCAAAGTGATTTGGTTGTGCGATTAAGCTGGTAGCATAGGCAAACAGTTTTTCTTTTTACCGTGTTTGCCATTATCAGTATGTTTATAATATTCCAATGACCAAACCAACACCCTGTCCACCTCATTTGAACCCAACGACTGCAGTGTCATCCGAGTATATCTGCAAATGACAGGACTCTGTCTGAAAGTCAGAGGTGTACAGAGTGAAAAGGAATGGTGAGAGTACTGTCCCCTGTGGTGCTTTTATGCTGCTGACTAATTGATAGACAGCCTTCAGTCTAACAAACTGGGGTATTTTTGTCAAGTAGTTTTTGATCCAATCAATTGTTTATGCCTCCACCTCAGTCCTCTGAGATTTCTCACAAAGTAAGTCAGGCTCAATTGTATTAAATGCACAGGAAAAATCAAAGAATCAAAGAAGAGTTAATTAGTTCTATCCAGACTTCCATGCTCTATTAGCTGCTGGAAGTTTGAGAAATAATTATATGACATGAATCAATAATCTTAAACCAATAGACACCATATTCCATATTTGCATTTATTAAATTTGTTGAATGCTTATTTCATCTTACATATGGTCTGTGTTTGCTTTTCTGTTTCATTAAACCCCAAGAAAATAAATTGAAGTTTCTAAATCTAATGCAACCAAATATTTTAAGATTTTAAAGGACATTTATGCTAAATTTGCAACGCATATAATAAATGCTCCAATGTGTGTTGCATCTATTCATGTCTCTCTAGTGGCAGACTTGGAAAGACGTGTCATTTTATCTATTTCAAAGATAAGAAAAAAATTACTTTCTTTTCAAATTTAGGGAATATCCTCCTTTATTTGAAATATACAGAACAAAAGTACAAAACAATCTACAGAACAACAACGAAAAACTGAACATATAAACCCCATTACAACAGCTACCTTAAGGTGTTTCTATCAGTAGGCCCTTGACAGGATTAATATACAAAGCCTCCTGTGACACATAGGTACTGTTATATAAAGATTTAAGAGATGAGACTTGGAGGGACGGATGTTTTTATGATAACGAGTTTCACACTTCAGCTGATATCAAACTGACCATACCATTACTCTTAAGGTTTTGTATCACATAATGTGAAATTGGTCATTTACAAATCAACAGATAATCAAACAAATTTGTCTGAAGAAAAGAATTAAATATAAAAGCAATAATAGAAAAAAAATCATGTTTTATCTGAAGATGATATTCAACAAACCTAATTCTGGACTTTGGATTGTAGAACCTTTATGTGAAAGGAATTCTTCAACCATGAACAGCTTTAATTCATATCAGCAATCTAATTTGAGATCAGATGGATAGAAAAGAATCAATTTTAAATCTTAGCCTTTATGGAAATATATGCATCCAAGACATTGCTCTAACATATTTGCTTGTTGTTCATTTGTGTTGAAAGTGATCAATCATGAAAAAAGAAATTAAGAATGATAAACATAATTTTTCCATAGCTTAATTTTTAATGTCACAAAAACTGACATTCTAACTGGGTTGTGTGGACCTTACAGAGCCACTGGCTAAAGTCTCTGAACAAATGCTGATTCTGAATTGGACGTATTGTAGCTCTTAGCTTTAGGGAGGGTCAACAGTAAAGATGCTATCATGTATAGGAAGGAGGGCTGGACTGCTGTGCTGAATCCAGGCAGCTGCCTTATGGATGTCATGGGACAGAAAAACACGCAAATTATGCTTATCATATAAAGTTTTAAACTCAAAACATGTTAGGGTGTGACCATTAGCATGCATCATACAGAGTATACCTGAGGAAAGTCCTTAAGGTGAGCTGTGCCTATAAGTCCTGGATTGTGGGCAACCGGATAGCTCCTAAACAGTGGATCGGAACATTCCAAGGGTTCCTATGCTAAATTAACTATTGCTCCCTTCCTCTTTCCTTACCATGACAATGATGATGCATTTCCACTTTGGTTTAAGAGTCCTCTCCAGCTTGCCTGATTCAAACTGAGCCATCGTCCTTTCTTCAGCAGAGTAGACCACAGCCGAATAAATGGCAGGAGCTTGATTTGCTTTATCCAACAAGACTGAGAATAACTCAATCTAAAGTGCTTTGCAGACAACAGGGATTATTTAAAACTCTTTGAAGAAACTATAACTTCAATAAACAAAAAAAGCCCCACTAAGCTCTTGGTCTTGGATTCCTTCTCTGATACATTTAGGCATGTTTAACTGGTGTTATCAGCAGAGGAGAGGTGTTTTTCCCCTCCTGGCTAAGGCAGGGGCTGAAGATTGGATACACACTCTCGCTGAACTTATCCTTGAAAGTATAGAGATGATGACGTGCCTTTACGTCGTAAAAGGACAGCTGGCCGGCCTCATAATCCAGGAAGATTCCTACTTTGCTGGGATGGGATGCCAGCATCAAAGGCATGCGTGTCTCCGCCAGCGCCTTTACCTCGCCGTTCTTAAGCCACAGGCACCAGAAACCCCCCTCTGGGTTCAGTTTGATTTCACCCTTTCGGCGAGCCGAAGCACGGGCCACTCCCAGTGTCCAGGCTGTCTTACGGCCAACATCGACTTCCCAGTAGTGCCGGCCGGAGTGCAGACCCTCTCGGGCCAAGACAAAGAGGGCTGGGTGGAAGCGCTTTGGACCCTCGGAGTTGGAAGACTTGCGCTCGTCGTATTTGACCTGCTGACCATCTTCAGACACTACCAGGTTCTTCTGGGCTGTGGAGGGATCCATAATAACTTCACCTAGAGAGAAAAGGTATCGTAAGAGGCTGGCAGAGCATTTCTCATCACATTTAGGCCTAAACATTAGATATCATAAATAGTTGTGCTCCCAAAGGATTGATCTCAGATCTGATAAAAAGAAATGGCTCCATCTTGTGGGCATTCGGGAGAACTGGATCTTCAGGGTCAATTTGATGCTGTATTACAGAAATGAATACAGAGTGATGCTGAAGAAGTTACTCACTTGCATAGTTCTGTACCTTGCGGAGCTCTGAGGGAGAAAGGAGAGAGAAAGACAGAATGTGAGGATCCAGGTTATCATAACAAGTTAACACGTCATCAAGCAAACCAAGCCAAGGCAACAGCAGATTACTGTAGCTGGTGTTAAACATGAAGCTGGAGCTGTTAGTACTGCAGCCACGTGCTGCTGTCACTCAGCTGAGCCTGCGTGGCTCGTGGTGTAGCATCAACCCAGTCTCCATCTGTCCAGACAACTTGTATGTGTAAATGCAGTGATGATTTACTTTTCTGCAGAGTGCATTCACTGACCTACATATGCCTGATTTGGAATTAGCATAGAACATGATGTCTGTATCATACCAGGGATAATGGGCTTTACTGGACAGAAACCAAATTGCATAGAAACCAAAGCAAAAGGTAGGTTAAGCTCAGATAAAGACTGAGGAATATAACCAAGGTGATTATTTGTTATGTATTTTTCATTTTATTTGCTTTTCTGACCCTTCTGGTAGAATTACATTAATGCATCTTGAACTTTCAGGGATGTAAATGGTAAATGGCCTGTATTTTTATAGCACCTTTTCAGTCAGGGAAAGTCAGGGGACTTGACTAAAACACTTTACACATTCACAGTGGCCAACTACATTGTAGCCACAGGTGCCCTGGGGCTCGCTGACAGAAGCAAGGCTGCTGTACACTGGCGCCACCAGGCCCTCTGACCACAATCATTAGACAATGCAGGTGAAGTGTCTTGCCCAAGGACAGAACAACACTGAAAGCCAGAGGCAGGGCTTGAACCGTCAACCCTTCAATTTAAGGGCAAGCTCCTACACCTGATGCCACTGTCCCCGACAAGGGATGTGTCATAAAAAAAAAAAAAAAAAACGACCGAGAATGATTTATGGTCTCAAATGTTTTTTTTGTTTTTTGTTGCTTTTTTTGTTTGTGTTTTACAATAAAAACCTAAAGCCTACAACTAAACCTATAAGTCTAGAGTTTCTTTCACATCTTTCTGTAGGCCTTGATGTCTTTGTTTGAATTTGTGGAGCAATAGATGAAAATTTGTTCTATTTTTAAGGTAGCTCAAAATCAGTAAGATTGGGTATATCGTGTCCTAAAACAACCATTTTAAGTCCTTACACAGATTCTTAGCTGGTTTTAGATCTGGACTTTGACTAGACCATTTGAACATCTTCTAGGGATCGTCCTTATTTAGCTTTAGTCTTCTACTCATCAGCTCTGACTAGCTTCTCCCTCCTTTCAGAATAAAAACCATCCCCAATGCATGATGCTGCCACCACCATGTGTTACCAGTTGGTTGAGGTTGATGTTGGTTTTCTACATGTTTGTCCTTTGATCAAATTTTGTCTTTTTTTTCCAACACCTTGCTGCTTCATTGGCTGCTTTTTCATAAAGACAATGTTTGTGAGGTGCAGGACTCGTAGTTGTGAACTCAAACGGGTCTCCCAGCTAAGCTTAACTAAGCGCTGGAATACTGGATTCCATGTCTAGCCTTTGAGTTGTGTCTTACCTAGAAATCTTTACTAAACATGAAATATGTTTAAAACGAAGGAAAAAATGTCATGACAAAACACTTATGACCTGATTTTAATGCAAGGCCCATTTAATATTTTATTTGACGGCTACCTTGCAGTGTGTATACTATAGTTGTTAATTTTAAAACCTCAGTGGTGTTGTCTCACTGCCCCCGCTCAGGAACTGTCACACGAGGCGGCTGCTCTCTCACCTTTTCCATAGAGCCGCTTAATCTCATCCTGGAACTTCTCGACAAGGCTGCTGACAGAGGAGCGGAGGGTCCCCAGATAGAGGTCAGTGTTTATGTTGACCCCTGACCAGTCCGTGGGTTCAGGCGAGTGGGACAGCGTGGCGATATTCTGTGGTCAAAAAGAACACATAGGTTTACAGTGGATGAGATTTTAATTAGGGGCATTGCAGCAAAAACAGAGCAAACTGCTCTAAATATGGACACTGATGGTCTCATTTTGGCTGCCGGCAGTTTTTGTGAATTTTACGCTTTGCACATTTTGCTTTTCTACTATTTCAATACTTCAGGCTGCTAACTTCAAAGACGTCTTTTATGTACCGTACAATCCCTGTTTTATACACATGAAAAGTCTGGTAATAAAAGGGTGGGGAGTGCTAACTGGCTTTGATGTTGTGAACTCCTACAGCTGATGCTCCTCCTCATAGCTTGCTTTGCCAACATGGTGCATCATGGCAGTCACCAAACAGACTGTTTCATCATAAGAGGTGGAAGTGATCTTGTGATAGTGGAAAGGTTCGAGTACCTGAAGAAAGATGACTTTGTCCTTAGTGTGGGCGTGGGCCTCCAGCTCGTTGCTCCTCCTCCTCAGCTGGCTCAGCTCGTTCTCCAGGCCCCTGGCCAGCTCCTGAGCATGACGCTCTGCCTCCCGTGACCTGGAAGTGATCGTCTCCACCAACTCTGCCTGACTTTGCTCCACCATCTTCTGCAGCTCAGCGTACACCTGCCAGCTGTCTTCAATCTCCTTCTGGGAGCTGGCCTGGAAACACAGGAATATCCTTTTGAGACACTAAAAAGGCTCCTCGTGGTGTCGAAATGATGATGTGGGAGTTCTGACGACATGACAGGGGAAGTACTTCAGTTAGGAACTTAGCAAAATATTTATGTTTGAGAGTTTCATGAGATGCCCAGTATTAGTATACCCAGTATTTGAGAAAAATGCTGGGTATAAACCTGGAAATAAATTTAGTTTATTTTAATTCCCTTTAGATTTTTTCTTAGGTGGAAATACTTTCTCATTTTCTCAATGTTTCTTGTATTCGGTCTAATTTCTGTTTTTTTTCTGTAGAGGAAAATAGTTTTTGGATTTAGGTTGAACCGTGATTCTTAAACCTTTAACTTATTGTCTTCCCGGTAAACTTCATAGAATTCTTATTTCCTTCATTCATAAAATCAGAAGAGAGTGACAGGAAATGAATTGAAGCAAACATTGATCACACCGTTGTTTAATAATACATCCATTACTAACTCCTGTGTATCATGTACTGTAACTAAAATAGAAAAGACCACATAAAAAAGCTGTTTTGATAGTATAATGTAGCTACTGATGGAAGAACTGAGGGGCGACAGTGGTGTTGGATGTTAGAGTTTGCCCTGAAATCGAAGGGTTAACGGTTCAAGCCCTGCCTCTGACTTTCATTGTCGTTGTGTCCTTGGGCAAGACACTTCACCTGCATTGTCTACTGATGGTGGTCAGAGGGCCTGGTGGCGCCAGTGTATGGCAGCCCCGCTTCTGTCAGTGAGCCCCAGGGCAGCTGTGGCTACAATCTAGCTTGCCACCATCAGTGTCTGAGAGTGTGTGTGAATGGGTGAATGAATGTAGTGTAAAGCGCTTTGGTCAAGTCTCCTGACTTGAAAAAAGGCGCTATATAAGTACTTACCATTTAACTTAAAGGAGAATTCCGGTTTTTAACACTTTTAGCCCATTTTCTGTAGTGTCCAGGATGAAATCGAATGATCGACACCAAAATTTTGACAATTGGTCCTGTCTCTGCTTTTTGGCTCATTTAGAATCCACCCCTGGCTGCTTCAGAATGGCTTCCATCGTGCATGTCCAATAATGTCCTTAAAACAACCTTAAACGTTCTTTTTTTAAAATATGCTACTCACCGGGTCGTCAGCGCTGTTCAATGACGTTCCAAAAAAAGTTTCGTGAAGAAAAACCGTTCCTGTCTTGTTTTATTTAGCATTTTGTAAATCCCAGAACTATTTTTTCCGATACATCACAACCGCTTATAAACTTCCGCTTCCCGTTCGAATCTGAAGCGTTGCACACTCCAGACCACTAGTTGGCGACAATGTCTCTATATACTCCTCCTCAGTATATTCCGGTTCAAAACGGTATCCTCTACCGTCAAACTCAAAGTCCAATATGTCCTCCTCAAGAATCCACCTTACGTATTCCATTTTCAGAGTTTTTTAAAGTGTTTAAAAGAGACGTTAGCACCTCGACGTCGGAGTACACAGAGTGAAGCGAAAAGACTACAACTGTGTAAACAGGCCCCATTTCCGTTTCCGGTGGCGGAGGGATATTGACTATTCCAACAGAACTCAATGGGATTTACAAAATGCTAAATAAAACACTACAGGAACGTTTTTTCTTTACGAAACTTTTTTTGGAACGTCATTGAACAAGCGCTGACGACCCGGTGAGTAGCATATTTTAAAAAAAGAACATTTAAGGTTGTTTTAAGGACATTATCGGACATGCACAATGGAAGCCATTCTGAAGCAGCCAGGGGGGGATTCTGCATGAGCCAAAAAGCAGAGACAGGACCAATTGTCAAAATTTTGGTGTCGATCATTCGATTTCATCCTGGACACTATAGAAAATGGGCTAAAAGTGTTAAAAACCGGAATTCTCCTTTAAAGGATTTTAGTTTTATTCTTTTTTAAATACACATATCGTGTCAAATAGACACATATCACTGCTGATTTACATTAGTTCATTCATAATTGAATATATATCTCTAAATTCAAAATCATATGTTATACATCGGCTGCACAGTGGCACAATTTTGTAGTACTGTTGCCTTGCAACAAGAAGGTACTGGGTTTGATTCTAGGCCCAGGGTCTTTCTGTATGGAGTTTGCATGTTCTCCTTGTGCATGCGTGGATTCTCTCTGTGTACTCAAGCTTCCTCCCAATCTTATTAGTCTCATACTGCTATAGCTTAAAAACAAAAAAACAGGATCCCTGTACTGATAAATCTCCTAAATAACTTTGATGCGAACTGTGATCTCTTCCAATTATTACGTTTTTTATAGAAAAGTTTATTTTTCCTAAACTCAAAAGGGCAATACAAATAAAACGTGTATTAAACTTTGTTTATATTGTGCCAATGTTCAGCAGATTGTGTATAGGATGAAAAGCATTCTTTACTCAAGACTTCAGATGGTTTCATAGATTCTAGATTTCTATACCCCAGTTCAGCTTTAGATTCTTGTGTTACAATGTATGAGAAAAATTTTATTCTTTAAAAATTATAGGCAAACATTTGAAAACTGCATGGATCTTTACCATGCAAAATAAACCCTTTTCAAACTTATAGCTAAGTTATTATACTTTTAATTAAAATTGTGCACATATTGTTAAGTTGTTTGATGCATCCATGTCTGACTAATGCTCTTTAATTCTGCTCTCTGAGCAGCAGCCTCTTTCTTTTCCTTTACTGCACTGCGTCTTCTACAATAAATAAATCCAACTTTCTCAGGTCTATGTGGTGATTTAATGTAAAGGTGATACTAAGCTGCTATTTAAGCTGCTAATCTGCACAGTGACAGAAACTCTTCGTTTTTAGTTAATGTCTAAGTCATAAAAATGTGTGCTTTTGGACATGAGTTGTCTATGTTCAGTTTTCCAAAAGAAGAGAAGCAATAATTAACTTTCAAAAGGCCTTAAAATGCATTTAACAGAACTTTAAAAAAAATAAGAGTAAAAATATACTAATAATAACTTTTTTTTTACATTTTAGCTAGATAGTTGTATCTGATCATCATACAGCTGAATAAAACCACCTTAACCTGTCAAGTCAGGGTGTGAAATGTGGGCCGTGACCCATTTCAATCACTTATTTCCTGCTTTAGTCACAGCGAGTCTGTCTGCCAGTTATTGTTCAACCGGACAGACTGGTTGAGTTTTCCCCAAGCCAAGTTGGAAAACCCGACCAGCTTTTCCTTTTAAAACTTATTTGCATTGGTTTAGATTCTAGATTACAGCTACTTTTATTAATATATTGATTTCTTTCAAAATAAGATACGACATGTTATGCTTTTGGTAAACACCACCACACACTTTCACTAACAAACACATTGTCTTCCATTCATTTCTTTAGCCTAAAAGAAACCTAAATTCAATACATTTTAGACCTAAGACTCACCCTTAATCAGTACTTTTTCTTAAGGGACCCAGACTTTGGGCCCCATAACAAACACTGGTTCCTAACAACATGGTGCATGTTGGAAAAATTGCCCTTCGCAATCAAATACTAGAGCAAACATAGTATTTGATTCAGCTATCCCCTAAAAAGAAGAACCACAGCTTTAGGACCAGGTTTTTCCCCAATTAGGGCTTGTAGGTTATCAGAAGAATAGATATACCAGAAAGAGCCCTAAACAGACAACATAAACAGCAACACACAAATAACACACTGACAGGGTGTGTACATTAAACACAGAGAAGCTGGAGCCTTATCTGTAACTTAACCCTCACTGTATTTGACAAAGCAAAACCTTAAGCAAACAGGTAACATCCACTTGTGTGATGTTTCCTTTTTTTCTCATCTATAAAACATGCAGCTTAAATATGCACCAACAATAAATTATCAGAAAAAAAATAGAAATTCAGTTTGATAAGTAGCTTCCTGTTATAACTACATACGGTTTAGTCTTTTCCCGATGACATTTTATCTCTGAGATTTGGCTCCATTGAATGTCATGGAAAACATTTGAGGCATGAGATCTTTCATACCATCATTTTTTTTCCTCCTAAAGATACTATTTACTTGTGAGCACTCATGGACAAAGGCAGCATGTGAGAAAACAGATGGCCATACTGGTTGGACGGCCTCAGACGAGGATCAGTCTGGGTGCTCAAGAAAAAAAAAAAAAAACAGAGAGCGAATGACTCAGATAAGGACAACATAATGTTCACATTTCTTTCCTTTTCTTTGGCAAAGCCAAATAACACTGCAGAACGATGGGGGGGGGGACTGATACTCAGAGCCTGGGAAGGGAGTCGTTAGCAGCTAATGGTTTATAATCCTAGAACAGAGAGCATTGGTGAACCTTTCAGCCTCAGAGGATCAAAGACTCTTCATCACAGCAGACACGGTAAATATTTAACAGCCCCTGGGAAGATGGTGAATGTTAAATCTGATTGGTTGCAATGAATAAACAGGTTTAAACCAGTTATTGGCTGGCTTGATTTTCTCATGGTACATATATCGTGAATAGAAAAAATCAACTGCATTGATGAGTTTCTCCTTTGAAACCAAGTGTTTCATATTTGATACATAAGTTTTGGGACCTTGGCGTCATCAGTGTGATAGTTTTGTCCCTGAAAACTCTGATTTGCACATAAAGTATTATACAGAAATGCCTAATGATGCAAATAGATTATATAATCTTAACTTCAATTTTCCTTTTTCATTTGTCAGAAAGATCAATGATATGCCTTGATCTGAAAATGATTTCATGGTTTGGGCTTTAATTAGGTAATAACTTGATTTTGCTGTGTCCCATAATAATAAAACAAAACAAATATTCGGCCCTTTTCCTAAAATAAGATGATAAATTATTGTTACTGGAATCAAATTGTGATTTATTTAGTTTTATTTTGATTCTGACACACAGACAGCAAAAGTATTTTTTAAACACCTTATCATAGTGTTAGTTTTCAAGTTCTTACTGCTGCACCTTTTTAATTTAGTTCAATTTAGTTTATTGATATAGCCCCAACACACAGCACATTTCATCTCAATGCAATTTACAGAGATCATTCAATCAGATCATCCCGTCAGATTGGTAAAAAATCTAAGGAAAACCAGCTGACTGCATCCAGTCAATTACTTTGCAGGATTTGCTCTTCCTGGATGAGCATGTGGAGACAGGGGATATTTCCTTGAATTTATTCGTTAACTCTACAGCTTTCCCTCACACCAAGGATGCATGCAGCAGCCTTTTTATTGTTTTGACTTATGTAGAGTTAAACATGAGCTTTAACAGTTCAGGATAAACCCTGCAGTCTGCAAACATGTTACTTTTATTAGAAACCAGGACAGCTCTACTTCCTTTTCATTTTATTTTTGTGTCCCGAAATATTTTTGTACTGCTAAATTTGTTTTCCTGTGAAGTAATGGAAAATGGTTGGGGCTTTCTTTTAGGCACCTGACTAACAGTCTGTGAAACAGGTGGAGGAGGGGCAGCACACATTCCTTTAGGTTTCATAACATGTGAAGAAGCTCCAATTACTTAACTACTGTCTCCTGCATCTTATTTTATGGAGTTATTTTTGTGTCATTATTGTTGCTTCTGTCTCCTTGACTGCTTCTGTCTCCTTGAACCCCAGTCGGCCTCGGCAGATGGCCGCTCACACTGAGCCTGGTTCTGCTGGAGGTTTCTTCCTGTTAAAAGGGAGTTTTTCCTCTCCACTGTCGCTACAAGCATGCTTAGTGTGGGGGATTGTATTTGAGTCAATGAGTCAATGCAATCAACTGGTTTTCCTTAGATAGAAAACTTTGTATCAATTTGACTGTATGATCTGGTTGAACTGTAAAGTGCCTTGAGATGACATGTGTTGTGAATTTGGCGCTATATAAATAAACTGAATTGAATTGAATTGAATTAAAAAGAACACGCTTTCAAAATTTTTTATTTATTTTTGGATTGGAATCTTTTTGTCAAACAGACAGTTTTTAACATATTTTCTAATTAAATTTTTTTTTTATTTGTAAAAGATAGAATTGGTGAAACAATAACTGAAAAACCGAAATTTGAAAGAAAAGATGAAAAAAAATGAAATATGAAAGTATATGAAATAAAATCTGAGAAAGTAGAAAGTTACTCTCAAAATATATTTCATTAAAAGTGTTTTTATTCTAACTATGATTTCTGAAAGTAACTTTTTCCTTATTTAAATGGACAAAATTTCTTCTTTGGTTGTAACAATAATGAAAACTCACTCTATATAATTTATAAACTGTATGAACTGTATGATTCTATATTAAACTGTACTGCTAAGTTACAGTAACTTTAAGTATTCAAAGCCTTGATTTACCCTGATATTAGAAATCGACCAATTTAAGTCAGTCAATGGAAAATGTTACAGAACTGATCATTTGGATCAATCCATACCATAGATGTTGGTCATCCTCTCACATATCCAGTGTTCTATGGTCTCACCTTGATAACCTTGATGGATTGCTTGATCTCCTCCAGTTTCTTTGCTCGCTCTTTGATTAAATGTTTCAGCTCTGACCTCTTCTTTCCCAAATTACTCTAAAAAGAGAGATAGTTTTCTTTATTTTCCAACCAGTTGCCTCAAACACCAAAATAAAACAAAGATATATAGTTTTTGTTATTCAAGTCTTTAATGTTGCACGCTGTAAGAAGTTTATTTCAGTGGCAATAATACAGCACTATCTAATCTTGTCTAATTGCGGACCTTAGCATGTGGACTGCAACTTTCAATAAGTAACCTTTGGATTACATAGAATTAATGAATGACTACAGCTCACCATCTTTTTCTTGAACTCGTGGTCGACATCTATGATGTCGTGGGATTTGTGGGTGGCCTCTGCGCATGCTTTGCAAATGCATGTGTGATCTGTGCGGCAGTATACTTCCAGGAGGCGTTCGTGTTTCTTGCAGATCTTCTCCTCCAGGTGGAAAGTAGGTTCAATTAGACGATGTGAAATCAGAGTTTTGACCTGCAAATATAGATTTGGACAGAAATATACCCGTTAAGTTTGAGCAGAGGAACGCGGACATGAGAAGAAGCAGAAGCAGGCCTAAAAACAGACCTTCTTATGATGCCGTAGATGAGACTCGCAGAAAGACCCAGGGCAGTTCACACAAGACTTCGAAGCCTTTAACTTTCTACCGATGCAGGCATCACATGGAACATCACCAGGCTGCGCAAACTCTCCAGTATCCTGTACTGGAGAGCCGTTGTGGACTCGGTCAGAGCTTAAAGTCTGAGAGCCCCCTCGTGAGGGGCTTCCAGAGGCCCCTCCAGAAACCGCCAGGCTCTGGAACTGGGACGATATTTCAGCCAGGACCCGGTTGACGCTCATCTCTGGTTTCCTGGAGTAGGTCTTCTTACACATGGGGCATGAGAACTTCTTGCTGTGGTTCCAGTAACCCTGTAAGCAGGCCTTACAGAAGCTGTGACCGCAGGGTGTTGATACAGGCTCCACAAAGATTTCCAAACAGATAGAGCAGGTGAACTGGTCCTCAGAGAGGCCCCGGCCTCCTGGAGACTGGATACCTGCAGAACAGATAAAAGAAAGGGAAGGTTTAAGGTCTGATGGGTGAAAAATGGATGCCAAAGGAAATCATTGATTGCCAATTTAATCAGTACTTCCTTGTTCCCATATTTATTAAAGAGGCATCAATCTACCAATACAGGAGAGTTCAAGACAAAAAAGTACTTGAATCTAGTGACAGGTCATGCTCATAACTTTGGAGTACATCAGAGGACATTTTTTTCTGAACTTTGTTGGCGTCCTTGTGGTCAGTCACACGTGAGGATGGTGGATCATATGATTTTGTTAAAACAGAGCCAGAGTCAGACGACACAACCAGGTAGAATTTGCTTCTGTTTCCATTGTGGTTCTGTTAGGCGATTTGTTCATTTTATTTAGTGTTTAATGAAAGTTTATCATTCAAAGAAAATACTACAAAAAAATAGGATTATTTTTTTTTTTGAAAAAGGTTCCTGAATGGGCAGCAAAACGTCTTGGAAACCAAGTCCAGTGGATTGTTTTTTTTTTTACTTTTTCGGAATGACTATGAACTGGATGAAAAGTAGGAATGCCTATTTTGTAACAAATATACATAAAATTAGGCAAGTATAAATCTTATAAAGACACTAAATGCAAAATGATTTATTAACATATAAAACATTAATTTTTGTCAATTTAAGCTAAAATAAAAGGTCAGACATGATAGAGAGCCCTTTGGGAACCAAAATAACTTCCCAGACCTATTGGATCAAATGTCTTCCTAATCAGGAAACCTTAAAATTAATGATTCTTAAAACATTGAACCTTGTTTTTCGTGTCAAAATTTGTCCTCTGACCATGTCGAGACACAGGGGAAGATGTTTTACACAAAAAACTTCAAGTTACCAGATTATTTTTACACCTTGACTCAGGTGACTAAGGAAGTGAGTGGGAATGCCATTTAAACTGCAAATCTAATAAATGTGTAATAACCTGCTTTATGTAAATGTAGATTTTCTCCAGGATTCTACTCTAGGCACATAAAACTATGTGGTCATTGTTTGGTGAAGGATTAAAAAGCCTTCATGTAATTTTTTTAATTTTCCAATACATCAATTACACTTATTGCCATTTAATTTCTATTTAGATACAGCCACATACTGTACTCCAACCAAAGTCTCTCTTTGGTTTGCCTCCCATGCTAATAAAAGATTGCCATTATATAATAACAATTCTCAAATATATCATAACAATTAAATTTTATTGTGGTAACTCGTACAAAATGCTACCAATAAAGACAGCTTAATTAAACACCTCTGAGTCTACTAACAGATCATTTATTAGATTCATATTTGCTTGTTTACAGCTGACTGTAAAGTGATTTTTACAGCTTATTCCCAGTTTCTATTTGTCACATGAAGAGCAAATCATCAAGCAAAGGCTTAAGTTGAAGAATGATTGTTATGAAACCTGCAAAATGGCAAAAGGGCCACCGCCTGAATATAAGAAATATTTTACAGATTTGTAAGCCTTTAGCGGAGAGATAAAATATTCTCTTACATGATCTTATGTTGAATCCTTTTTTTATTTCATGATTGATTTAATAAACAATGAAAGCAAAGCTGCACAGCAGCCTCTTCTCCGTCCTTTTATAGAATCTGCATGCTTTAACCAGAACCTCTTCAAATGGACTTGAGACCCAGTGAGCATGTCTAATCAACATCTCACCACAGGGGGCTGCAATCTTTTATATCCAAAGAGCCATTTTGGCCTGAGTCCAGTTAAAAGTTGCTCCAAAGAGCAACTTGTGGCTCTGCAGGTCACAGCAGTTACCAGAACAGACCTCCTGATTTTTATTTCTGTAAACCTAAACTATGAACATGATTATCGATAATAATCAATGCATGATAATATTAAGATGAATATCAAAGTGATAGGAGGAGGTAAAACTGCACATGAGGACACGATGCATGAACAAACATAACACACACGCCCTGTTGATGAATGACCTCTGAAGGCCACCGTTTCATTCTGCAGAGGTGGGACATCTATTAGAGTTAAATAAGACAAAGGCCTGGTCTGAATTTTGTTACCGATTATGTGACATCAGTGACATGTAACAGAGAACTTTCTGACTAAACTGGATGGCTTTAAAATGTGTTATTCTGAGCTGTGGTGGGTGAGAGACTGGAAGGAATGCAGAAAATCAGGACCTTCCACCCTGCAGCTCCGGCTTTGGCTTCAGGAACCATTTACAGACAAAACATCTACTGCTGCTAGTGTTTGTTTTTCAAATTCATTATAAATCTGTAAGTTAAATCCAGACACCTCTAAGTAACAGTGCTTCATTTCAGGCAAAACAAACTGATACATTATTTAACTACAAAAATATATGGATCCCAAACCCCTTAAAGACATTTTTCTAAAAACTTTGGAAAATGCCGTGTAAGAACTGGTCCCAAAAAAGCCATTTTTAGATTCACAGGAAAGAAAACAGTAAGAGTTAATAAAGACATTGAGTGTTTAAGTTGAACTCACTCATGGTGTTTTGTTTTCTCTCTGACGTGGAACTCAGCAGTCCTTCACTCCAACCGGTGTCCTGTGGATCTAAGGCTAACAGGTGCAGAGCTCTTCCTGAAACCTGCTGTGGGCCCTCCCACTTTCAGTGTGACACACCCTAACTTATCTTCTTTTGTTATCCTGGTTTAACAGAGTAAATATTCAAAGCACTAAAACAAGATTAGTTGTTTGGGCAGTATTCGAATGTGGCTTTACCTGTGAAGAAACATAACTGTGATGAAATGAAACACAAGAAAACATGTATGCTTCTTTGGTTAATGTCAGCTGAGCTTCTGGTCTTTAATTCAGTTATTGTACCTATTAATCTAATCATAAATGCACAGAGTTAGAAACATCTGAGATTATCTTTAAAAGGGAATGCAACCACTTTAAACCCGTGGATTTATTTAAGGAAAAACAATGGACTCTTGTTGAAGATTTGAAGACAACCTTAATCATAATGGAGCACATAAATATGGAGAAAAAAAATTTGCAAATTTTTTCAATGTAAAACAAAAGGTAACAGTAACACATCAGTGTCCGGACAATTATTCATGCTCTAAAAACCTGTATTAAATATACAAAACTTTAGCTGAATTTGATTGGTCGTGTAATGTTTATTGTTTTAAATTGATGTTATGTGGATATGCAGTACGATCTTTTAGCAAAGACAGAAAAAGGACCCATATTTATCTGAACACAAAGTGGGAATATAAAAGAGGTCAAATAAAAACACTCTCTAAACTCACTGTTTAAAGAGTTTCATCCTTAGAAAATATTACATGCAATTAATGAAAAAATGTGAAAATAACCATAATACAGTAGTAGCCATTCAAAAGTTCCCCACTTTCCCTGATGGGCCCTTGGCTGGTCCCCTACAATTCCTTTTAAAAATTAATCGCTGTACTAAAATATTGTTTCCGTCATGATTTGTGGACATTAAGACCTAAAGAAAAGCGTCATCTCCTGGTCAGACCCTGTACTTCAGTGAAAGGGTGGAGTCAGAGTAAAAAAAATATGTTGGGTTCGCTGGGATCTGCGGGGATGTTGGCTGCCATTCGGCTGGCGTTTGACTGGGAAGGGCCGTTATGAATGGCTGCTACTGTAAATGATAACATATAAAATTAGCTAAATTCTGCTTTCTTGATTGCAGTTGAGTGCAAAGAGGTCAGGATGAGGATCAGCTCTTCTACGTCCAACGCCAAGGTTCTAGACTGGAAAAAAGGTGCCTTTGCTTCTTCAAACACAACTTCCATCTAATTTAGTATAAACATCCTGAACCTGTTTGGTTTAAGAGTGTCCTGCACAGATTGGTCTGTGACGATGATTGCAGCTCTGCTTTTCTAACATTTAAGAAAAAGCCACGTGAACATTTTTATTTTTTGTATTTTATTTATTTTTTTGTTTTTCTAATTTGACTGGTCAAATGCAGAACACCGTTTCAATTTTTGAGGCTTGGGGACAGAAGTGAAAAATGGTTCTAAGACAATCCGCTGACTCTTAATGATCTTGATAATTAAGCAAAGCTCAACAGCCACATATCCTCTTTTTAAGCTTTATGCTAGTTAGATATAGGTTAAAAAAATACCTATCCTGTTGGCTGAACAGAGAGGGTTAATATTTTGTTAAAAATATGCCTGTCTGAACATTTTGTTCCTCTTTTGCTAAAATGTGCTGAAATGATATGTTGGATTTTACCAGAGCAGCGCACATTAACATGGTGGAGATCATAATGGAGATGATATGGACAGCAAATGCAGACCATAACTAATAGTAAAAGCAAGATGGAAAACAGGGCTTCAGGGGGAGACGGCTGGGCGCTTTGATGATTTTTGGCTGGAGTTCAAGGCGGTTTTCCAACCCCTAGGAATTGTTGAAAGAAATTAGGATACCGTAATTGGAAATGAAAACAGAGGAGGAGAGTGAGAGGATTCAATGTGTAGTGCAGAATGTGATTGGATGATTTAGCTAAGGCCTGATTCCCAAAATTAATGTATTTTAGAGTTCTACCTTCAACATTATAAGGACTTCAACTTTAACTACCTTTTATTAAAAGATAAAAGAGACAAAAAAAAAAAAAAAAAAACAGAATGTTCCTTTAAGACCAAAGCTCAAGTCATTGATAAAAACAAAAATAATAATCTGTTTACATTTAATTTCCAGGTGTGAGTTCTTTTTTTTTTTTTTTTTTTTTTTTTTACCAACGATCTTAAGTAGAATAGGTGATTAGAAGAAAAATCACGCTGTTCCTCACAGTTTTTCAATCAATGCCAATTGCACCATGACTTTTTAGGTGCGCTGCTGCACTTTATAAATTATATTCTTCATTTCACTATTTTAAGCTGTTCATTGAAAAGCAGTATGCATTGAAATTTTGTGATGTGAAATACTTAGACTTAGTCTAAGTCTCTAAGTCTAAGTATTTCTTACATTTGTTAAGAAACTTTGCAAAATAAACACACCACGTGGCCTTTATAGTCTGATCAGTCTAAATAGCTAGGATTTATGAAAAATCTGAATAATCCATTTGATCCTGATTTCTGACCTAATCACATCAAGACATATGTGTTTAGTCATTTCTAGAAACAGTTTTATAAAGCAGCGGTGAAGATGAAAACCTTGGGTTCCCTTTAAAAGAGAAACATATGTCCGTTTTAATAATTCACAAACACACTAACCCTCAAAGGATGAGATGAAAGTTTAAATGGGAACAGGTCTGAATCAAAGCAAAGTGCACTTTCCCATCCCTGTATCTCAGAGTCCTTACTTCTTCACAGGTTTAATCTCTTCAAACTGCCAGATGTGACTCCCCCGCAGTGAGTCCAACTTTTCCTTCCAAAGCCTCTAAGTTGTCTTAGACCTTAAGCTGCACCAACTAAGATCTTTGCCTGATTAAGCTTCTTAAGAGAGCATGGTTGCTTTCACAAATCCTAATCCATGGTTGCTGTAGATTGCTTTTCCTAGAAAAATATAAATGTAATTTAAAGCCTATGCAACCGCTCCCCTTCGTTTGGTCACTGTTGAGTTCTTTCAACTTTATAACCAGAGTTGTTCTCATTGATAAATAAAGAAAGTGCCATCTTCACTAGTTTCAAAGGAAATGCAGTATCATCAGAGCAGGCCACAGGGTGATTGGTCACCTTGGCAACCGATATATTGATATGAAAAGTTGTGGTGTGTTAAGATAGGACACTTTGTTAACATACATTGAAGTCTTTGCCCTCTCAGCTATTCGTACAGCCAGGCTAAGAAAGATGATGTAATTTTCCCTGAGAAATGTTCGGAGTTGCTTGGATAAAACCCATTTAGTTTTATTTTGACATTTGTTTTGAATTCTGTTTATTACCTTTTTATGGGGCCTATTACAAGTAGACAAATTAATGGAAAAAATATTATTTAAAAGACAGAACGAGCTTCAACATGGACTACAGGATCAATGTTTATATGCACACGTCTCTTGAACAGAAATATTAGAGGCCCTGTTCTTAGTCACAGAGACGGATTGTTAGCATAGCTAAAGAGATATGAATGACCAATGAATCTGACCCCATTAAAGTGCAAGTTTAGCAAGCTAGCAGCTGTTCCTTGAGTTGATGAGTTGATGTTTGCTTTGTGAGACAAAATCAAATACCAACAATAGCCTGACTTATTTCAATTCAATTCAATTTGTATTTCAACGTGTATTTGTATGAACTGTATATATATATATATATATATATATATATATATATATATACACAAAATGTATACAAATCAAAATGTCAACTCATCTCAGGCTCTAAGTCAAGTTAAGCAAACTGTTCTCTCCTTGCCACTAATACTCCAAAATTTTTTTTGTTTTGTTTTGTAAATATACTACAGATTTATAAATTTATCAGGTTTTTGATAAAGCAAGAAGCATAACTTCAAAGTAGATATTGTTTTTTAAATTTCCTTGAAAACAAAAATGTGTTGCCATTTATGTTGACTGCTCTTCAATATCCTGCCCTAAATGAAATCTAGTACAATTCAATTCAGTTTATTTATATAGCACCAATTTACAACACGTCGTTTCAAGGCACTTTACAATTCATCCAGATAATATGGTCAGATTGATTCAAGTTTGACTCAGGTTTTCTATCTAAGTAAAAACAGTTGATTGCATCAACTCATTGACTTGAATGCAATCCCTCACACCAAGCATACTTGTAGCGACAGTGGAGAGGAAAAATCCCTTTTAACAGAAAGAAACCTCCAGCAGAACCATCCTCAGTGTGAGCGGCCATCGGCTGACACCTATTGGGGTTTAAGAAGACAGAAGCAGACAGAAAGAAGCAATAACACAAAAGGCATCTGTCAACCAGCTACACAGGCTGTCCTGTCCAGGAAACACACAGCCAAGCAGAGAAGCTCCCAGCCAGCTCCCATGCCAGAGGATGAAAGAGAGCACATCCAGCCAGTCACGGTCAGAGAAACAGGACTATGATGAAAAACAGGCAGATCTCCAACATCTATAAACAAAAGTGTTGATGGCAGCAGCACAGCTGATATTTCTCTCCAGGATGGTGTCACAGCCAAACAGAAACAGACCGGATGAAGCTACTGTGAGAAAAAGCAGAGAGAGCATTACGTTAGAGGTTGAACTAACAAATACTGCAGAATGGGAGAACCGAGCTGCAATGAAGCAGAATGATGAAAAAGGGGTCTCTATGTCCTCCAGCAAAAGGAAAGTTTTAAGCCTACCCATAAAAGTATACAGGGTGTCTGCCAAAACTGGTAGTTGGTTCCACAGGAGAGGAGCCTGATAACTAAAAGATCTGCCTCCTATTCTACTTTTAGAAATTCTAGGAACCACTAGTAAACCTGCAGATTGAGAGTGAAGTGCTCTGCTAGGTACATAAGGAACAATCATATCTGTGATATAAGATGGAGCTTGGCCATTTAAGACTTTATATGTGAGAAGGAGGATTTTAAATTCTATTATTGATTTAACAAGAAGCCAATGAAGAGAAGCCAGGATAGGAGAGATATGATCTCTCTTTTTAATTTACATCAGAACTCTGGCTGCAGCATTTTGGATCAGCTGAAGGCTTTTAACTACAGTTTGTGGACTTCCTGATAGTAAAGAATTACAATAGTCCAGCCTTGA